TCACCACACGTACCTGGCACACACACGGTACCTGGGTCACCACACACGGTACCTGGGTCACCACACACGGTACCTGGGTCACCACACACACGGTACCTGGGTCACCACACACACGGTACCCTGGGTCACCACACACGGTACCTGGGTCACACGGTACCTGGGTCACCACACACACGGTACCTGGGTCACCACACACATTCTACCATGGTCACCACACACATTTCACCATGGTCACCACTCTCTCTCATGACCCTCTAATTCTACCACCATCCTCACTACAACTACTATCAGCATCATCACTGTCGAGAGATGCCATCAACACTATCATCAATATTAAGCAATACCACAACCATTATTATTACCACCACTACTGCAACCACCACCACTTCTACCACCATCACAATCACTACCACTACTGCAACCACCATCACAATCACTACCACCCCACAACCACCATCACAATCACTACCACCATCACCAACCACCATCACAATCACTACCACCATCACCACAACCACCATCACAATCACTACCACCATCACCACAACCACCATCACCACAACTACCATTAACCTCTCCCCCAGGCCATTACTCAGACACAGAGCAAATAAAATGGTAGACTTTTGTAATTAATTAACCCTCACCCCGGAATGTGTGTGTGTGTGTGTGGAGAGAGCAACACGTCGCAGCCTCATCATAATGCAACAGCCGCCTGTGTCCCTGGGCCATGTATTTCCCTTTACCTCACCTCTCCCTCACTAGCCCACCAAGTCTCTTATTTCACATCAATCAGGATCCCCCTCCACGTCTCGGCTCGACCTCCCACCAACACCTTCACCTAGTTATGAGTGGCACTTGTACCCTGGTGACTAGGAAGTGTGTGTTGAGCTACTGACGGAAGGGGCAGCCGCAGGAGGTGTACATCAAGACCACCTGTCGGGTTATGAATACAACCAAGGCGCGCCAAATTGCTGCTCCACCTCTACCGACGTTGCCACATTTCCTCACATGTAATGACTCATTAAAATAACCAAGTAAATAAATAATAACAACAAAATAACTTACTCTAACTCATCAATCTCTTAATTATTCATAAATTACCAGACGTAGGGTAATCATCTGGACAATTCTAAATATATGACTAAAATGAATTAATGTGTCATCCTGAATAATAATAATAAAACAAAAAAAACAATGGCGTCTTCAAAATCCTAACCTAACCTAACCTAACATAACCTAACCTAACCTAACATAATCGGCTGTTTACCTACGAGACGACTGGACAAGCACTGGCCAGATCAAGATAACAGTCCATCTGGTACTGGATTGTAGTGTAGACCAAGAAACACACACATAAACCTTACACCTGCCACAACACCTACACCACCTCCCCATAACTACTGTACACTCCCTCTTACACCCGCTCCACGACTCAAAACAAATACCTTTTTATCACCACAAGACACCTATCAGAGTCACGTCACCTGGCCTAATCTACAGTTTCCTGAAGCTTTGAGAGTAATGACTTAACACCTTGAAGAGTGACTTACTCCAGGTCATTACATTGTCATTGGTGAAAGCACATACTACCACTTCCGGCCTCCTGCTTCGCCTCCTCGCCACCATTCCTCCTTCCCCTCTCCTGCTCGCCACCACAATCTCTCCCCCTCTCCTGCTCGCCACCACAATCTCTCCCCCTCTCCTGCTGACCGCCACCACCACTCTCTCTCTCTTCTTCCTGTGTTTCCAATACTACTATCATACTTAGTCTCCTCCCCCCACACAACACTCCTCCAGGCTTGTCATCTCCAACACTCTCTCCGGCATGTCATCTCAACACACTCACCTTCCTCTTCAGGTGTTCCCCGCGGTTAATGACATTTTCGAGTGTATCAAAATTCTATACCTGTACACAGTCTAGTTTGCAACAGCGTGCATGGTTACGTATAACAAAACATGTCACGTGCGCCCCAAACACACACACATCCTCCTTCCCTTCACCCTCTACACCCATCCCCTCACCACCCCCACCCCCTCTCCCTACCCACGCTTGTCAAAGGGACGATGTTTTTTTTTTGCTGTAACTCTTTAAAATGGACGATAATAGCCTTTTAAAGAGATACGTCATAAATAATCGACCCATAAATATTGCCAAATACTGTATACAGGTATATACAGTTCCAAACAGGTGCCAATTAAGATCCCCAGGTAACACAACAAAGTAAATATTATCTAATCAACACTAAACCAAATAAACCTCTCTCCACGTTCACGTTAAGCCAATGAACACAAGCACACACACACACACACACACACACACACACCAAATAAACAAATAAAAACAAGAGCAAAACAAATACATCATACCAGGTAACAAAAAAATAAGATAAAGGAAAGACCGGACAACATTGGAGTTTTTAACCGCTCACCAACAACACAGTCTAATAATAATGCGGTGTAGCGTCCAGGCGGTTTACGAGGTACTCTGGGCACCTGCAGTTGAGGTTGTGGGTTGGGTAGGGTAGTGCCTACCTATCCCCGCGGGAGAGGAGCAACACTGTGACGCCAGCCAGATAAACGAGGAACAAGATATCATGCCTTCAGGATGACGATACCCCCCCCCCTCCCCAGCTCTGTGTTTCTGTCGTTCTGGAGGAAAAACAAGTGTGGAGGAATGGAGTGAAGGAAGGAATAAGACAAAAGCAAATATAAATGAGAGAGAGATAAGCGAATCAGATATGTCTAAATGAGTGATAGATGTAACTGTTAAGAGATAAATCCAATTAAATGCAATAATAAAGAGCAAGAGACAAAAATAAGACTGAGATAAGGAGATTTGAGAGAGCACACACAACCTGCTCGTATGATCACCTTTCTGCTGACCTAACCACCACCGTCTACTTCCTCTTCCACAATTTATCCTCCCCACGTTTTCCTGGAACTGTACCGTGTCTCATTATTTTATCTTTATAAAAGAATTAAATGCTGATATCACCACACAATCATAATCAAAAGGAAACTTACTAGTGTACAAATTTACTGTATACAAACCTATCCTTATTTTATACATTTGTGTGACTCTTGTGTAACCTACAATATGTTACTTCATAAACCTTAAAACCTTCCTATTATAAAGATCACCTTTATATATATATATATATATATATATATATATATATATATATATATATATATATATATATATATATATATATATATATATATATATATATATATATATATATATATATATATATATATATATATATATATATATATATATATATATATATATATATATATATATAATACAGTTCTTGCCACCACTATACCTGCTACAGCCCTCACTTAGTGTGGCTACAGACCAGCATTGTACCATTGCTTCATCACCAGGTCCCCCCTCAGTTCCAGCTCACCTTGGTGTCAATCAATGGCAGGAGAGCAAGTAGCCAAGTTGCCAGATCAAGGCTTTTTTATACAGTAACAGGATTTCACGCTTATATCCCTCATTTATAACCAAATGTCTGGCTCCATTAACTCATACATTCTGAAGCCATCTTGGAATTAATCCTGTCAGTCCAAGTGGATAGATGATTAGTCTACTGTATCAAGATATATGGCTGACTAGTCTATCTCATCAAGTACGTAATGTGAACACCAGAGTGATATATGTAATCCTAATCTTTCAATTTATGAGAATCTCCATCAAACATCACCTATACACAAATTCAACTCAGTATTTAGGAAGTAAACTTGGCACTGTAGTATAAAAGTAACACTTACAACATACTGTACCACTTAAAGCATTACTGTACTTCTCTTATCTAGGACACCAGCAAAGATACTGTACTGTGGGCGACTGTCACGTAACTGGTGCAATATTATTAAGCATGGTGTACGGTACTTGTGATGGTGGAAGTATGCAGTCTGTATATACTGTACTGTACACCACCAAGGTCCTAATAAATAATTCAACACGTACCGCTCTCGAGCCGGTATAGCCTTAGCCTTGGCAAGCTCCAGGGCCGTCACCCATTTCTGGCTCCCTCTGAGGATGCCTTCAGGTGGAAAGTTTGTGTACCACCATTACTAATAACAAAGTTACAGGAGTCTTCTGTGTGAATGACGGCTCCGTGCAGGCTGATGGTTCCTCGGCAGGTATGAAGCATCTCTGCCTGTGACCTGTGATAAGATAAACAAGATTGGCTAAATATTCAAGTAAATCTCACCCTTGTTACATGTATTCAAAATTAATTAGCTAAAGTACAGTGAAGAAAATTTATCATTGTAAGTTATTAGTGCTGTAATTTGCTTAATTTAACTTAGTTCATCTAACTTTATCTCTAAAGCATAACATTATTCCTTCCATTTCTAACTTTGATATAATCAATAACAAAAAAAAACAGAATGCAAGCGTTTTAATTCTAAGATAGTCAATGAAGCACACAGTTAGAATCCTACTGATGTATGTTAATCTCAAAAAAAAATTGTTTGCTACCTGTTGTTCACCAAAAATGATCTATTGTATATAAGCATAACTTTCTACATCTGAATCTTTATGTCACTTACTTCATAAAACATTAAAACTAGTACAGTTCTGTAAAGTATTGTACAGTATATATTTGGGGTAGCTACTGTACTTTAACTTATGTGGAAAATACTTTTAAATTTTTCTGACCTTCTTCCACAGACATTTCAAGTTATTGATGTTTTCTAGTATAGCACACATAAAACTTGTAGCTACTGAGAAGGTTAAACACAGAACACAGGTTACCGGTATATACTGTAAAATAGTACCGTACTGCACCATACACAGATCACAATGACTTCCGGTTTTTTTATTCTTGCTCTGCGGCTTAAGTGTAAGCAATAATAAACACAACTACTGTATTCTGCTACATTATTCAATAAATGATCATATCGGAAACATTTTATAAGCCAGCTATGATGTACATGTAGGACTGACCTCATACAGGACTTCACTACAGTACGAATTTGACTTTTCCACCATATACCAAAAATGTTCTAACACCTACAAAAACACGAAGCAATATGTACTGTAGCTTGGCAATATTGAGTTATCTCTCCTTACTAAAATCAACCATAGTTCAGTGATCATTTAATTCAATTCACTTAAGCTCTAAAGATGCAGGAAAAATAATAATTTAATTGCTTCTTCAATAAATTCTAAGTTACTTTTTCATATTCTTCCACTCAACAAATTGTAAATTACTAAAAATCACAGAGTAGGTTAAACAATATCAAGAATACACTGCAAATAGACACTAGAAATGGAATCTCTCTAGCAATATATGAGGTAAAATTAACAATGATGCATAAAGTTGCCAACACTCAGCCACTGTGCAATCTTTAGTCTGGTTGGGAGGAGCTGGTAGTGCCCTTCCTGCTCACAACCACAAATGACTCACTGGCAGATTGGAAATTAATTAAAGATGAGAATAATGTTCCAGAAATATTTGAATTTAATGATACCTGTACTATAGAAACACTTATATGATGTTTGTATTATTTTGAGGTGTTGGATCCACTATATATCTCACCAATAGTGGATTTAAAGGGTTTGAGATTCCCTTTTCTTTGTTATTTTATCAGATTTTTATTCTATACTTTGAATAAATATATTATCAGTCAAGATCCAGTCAAAAATTATTATGGCTCATTCAAATTTAAACAATATATATATTTTTTTAATCTGAGAAAAATCTGCCAAACCTTTCCTAATAACAACATATGGTTAGATGCATTACTCAACCCCAAACACCAGCAGGAGATTGTGTGGTATATAAGACACCTGTTTAAATAATGTGGGGATATATCCTAAGCCTGCCATTCATTAGCACAATAAGTTAAAATATTAAAAACAAATCAGTTTACACTATATTGAGTACACAATGGTACAGTTATGATCCCAGAAAATAAGGTACAATAAAGACTGCATAATCTTTGGTTCAGAGTAAAATTGTTTGAAGGTCTCTGAACCATCGTTTGATATTTGGTGACAGGTGTTCTTCATGATCACTAAACAATCACCAAAGTTCCTTACTAGTCTTTCATTATTCATATTTTGTTTTAATTTTCTAACATCTAATACTTGTTACTGAATGTAATACACATTAATACTCAGAACCTCAACAAATGACGAATATACTGACAGTAAAACAGTCTTCCTTGTAGTGAAGTTGTCTCGTATGTTGAACAGTAGAATGTCTTTATACTCTACCAATACAGACAAGAGACTCACTGCTACACTTCTACATCGTTATCACCAGCTGACATGGTAGGAGCACAGTACAATAAGTGAAGCTCTTAACATATATCAGAACACCACCAAAAGTTGTTATATGTTCGTAGCCAATCACTCCGTCTTACCTGTAGTAAGACAAGAGGCCGTTGGTCAGCACGAACCATCGCTTCTGATACCCCTTGAGGTAGTTGGTCCACTTGTACAGCCAACCTTTCATATCAGGGTCAGTTTGTTTCTCAGACATTTTGTTTAAAGCCTAGAATAGCTTGTCACTATCATCTGACCCGTCCAAGATGGCAGCTTTGTCAACAGTGACCGCCTATACTCTCTACATTCATCAACCTCTTGTTTACCTCACTCTTTAATACAATTTAACTTCATTATAATTAATATTTGTATTACTCATGAGTTGTATATTATAATAAAAGCTCTTTAAATGCCTGATAGGGGAATGCGTAAAAAAGAGTACAGGTGTGGCTCCGTGGCACCATAGTTAACACATACTGTATAGTGTGGAGGCACTGTACCGCTGGCTCTTTGATAACTAGTACTATAACTGTATTATTTGTATAAGATAATAAACATTGTTTTTCAAAACTTTAACACTTCTGTATCACTGTCACCAACAATGTGGAGGAAATGATACATAAAAAACACACTTGGCACGAGAACTCTGTCTTAACACGAGACAAAGAACACAAATTTATCTTGTGATTGCTTCTAGTCTATAAAGTATGAATTCATTGTGAATATTGCAATTTACTAAACTTTCAATTGTTTCGGATCGCTTCAAAATTTTTAATACAACTTTGCAATTTACTGTAAATGACCGGCGCTCCTGTAATTCATAATTGTTGTATTTGTAATTGCAATATGGTGTGGCCTAGACTCGGGGGAGTTCAGTCGGCCCCATCCCTCCTTTTGGAAATAATAAAATTGTAGTCATTAGTGACGCAACAAACCTAGAGCTAATAGCCTACATAACGTACGTCCCTAGTTGCAACGTTTCTAGAAAGTTGAATATTACAGTAGATATGGAAAACGTTCCAATAAAAACGTTGTGAAATATTACAAAAACATTTTCTAAAGATAATCATGGCGTTGTTATGATAGTTTTTGCTTAATGCTGATAGTAACAGTGATTATAAACCGTTATTATCAAGCACTCGATCACGGCCATACACATAGGTACATGGGGCGGATAGGATTAAATAGGCGTCTCTTGGAGCTAAGATAAGGCATCCATCCTACCACGTCGATCTGAAAAATAAACAACAGTATATTGTGACATTCCTTTTGCAGTTAACGTTATACTATTATTACTGTACTTCAACAATTAAAAATTATGAGAGGTAAAACTCTCCCTCCTTCAACATCTTTTTGGGAAATGGTTCCTTTTGTCTTCAACTTTCAGTCAAGTAACGGCTTCTAGAATCACTAAAACAAAAGTAAAAATATGAATAAATAACCGATCCAACAGGATGCCATTTTTAAATGACCCGTCAGCACAGAGTTGTGAACCGCTGGCCAGCTGCTGCTGCTGCACCAAATGCTGCTACCAATCAATTCTAACAGCATCTTTCAGCAATCTCAGCGGTAAATCAATTAGACATGGCTTCTTGATATCAGTATTGAAATTCAGTCATTGGGTTTCTGAATAGGCTGGTTTATTTTGAAGACTAATGAAGGAACTTTTTTAATAGAGAAATTTAGTATACGCTTTGTACATTTGTTATGCTCTTCAGTAATGCCCGAGTTAAGGCTTTCCAGCAATTTTTGTATATATATATATATATATATATATATATATATATATATATATATATATATATATATATATATATATATATATATATATATATATATATATATATATATATATATATATATATATATATATATATATATATATATATATATATATATATATATATATATATATATATATATATATATATATATACACGAAGTGGTTTATGGTTTTCTTCACAGTAGTGATGGACATGATTTTGCAGTGCTTAGAATAAAAGCTTATATAAAGCTATTATTCAGTGTGGTATTCTGCATGAGTCCTAAGAGTTTGATTTTAAGTCTAGAAAAAAGTAAAGCTTTTCATAAAATGTTTAAATGACGATATATATAATTAAAAATAGATTCTAGTTATTTATACTAAATTGATATATAGGTAATACTGTACTTATTTAAATAATGGCCAGTGAAGTGTTTGGTCGGTGGAGTTGTTGGCTGTGTACACCATCACTCAGCACTAGTTCCTCCCTCTGCCGCCTCCTCCTCAGAGTCCTCACCCTAACACACCAACGCCATCAACATTATCAAGGTATTCTGTCACATTTAACTGTTTTAAGCCTATGTCCATTACCTCACATCAAAGTTTACATTACTAAGAATATTTGTGCTTATTCTAATTGTATACAGACTCGTTGATTCTACAGTTAAACGGAAAGGAGTTTGAGTGAGTTAGAAGCGGGAAATAAAAATCATAAAACAAGACATCACTTGAGGTATTTAGTCTGTTTTCTTAATGGTTTTGTTGCAAGTTTAAAATAGAGGAGGTTTATAAACATCTAAAATTTCTCTTAAACTTGAAAATAAGAAGCACGTGTAGGGTGGGCTGAACACGCTGGGCCAGGGAGGGTAGTGAATGGCGTCATCTTATTTCTACCAATTTTCTGCCTGTAATTGATTATATTTGTATGGTTAGTACAGTAGTTAAAGTATTGATATGGTTAGTATGGTAGTTACAGACACGTGGGAGACTGAACTACTGTACTGTATTTGGTAAATTTAGAGTTTTATATAACCTATAAATTTGGATGTGGATATTTATACGTTATTTACAATCTATTAAATAGATACATGGACAAAAGCTATTAGAACTTGACCTAACCTAAAGTAATTTACCCTAAGGGTACTTGTAAGCCCGGACCCACGGCCTAGAAAACAGTGCGTTAATGTTCGAAATAAGGCAAACAGAGTATTCGGTTTTATATCTAGAAGTGTAAGTAATAAGAGTGCAGAAGCCTTATTGCAACTATATCTTGCGCTAGTCAGGCCGCACCACGATTATGCGGTTCAGTTCTGGTGCCCTTATTATAGAATGGATATCAATTCACTAGAGTCGGTGCAGCGAAGAATGACGAAAATGATTCCGGGACTTAGAAACATAAGAACATAAGAATGGAGGAAACTGCAGCGAGCCTATTGGCCCATACTGGGCAGTCCCGTTTACACCCAACCCCTATTGCTCATATGAGCATCCAACCTATGTTTGAAGCAATTCAGCGTATTCGAGTTAATGATGATATTTGGTAACTTGTTCCATTCATCCACTACTCTGTTTCCAAACCAGTGTTTACCTATTTCAAGCCTAAATCTAAATTTGTATAATTGAAAACCATTGTTACGTGTTCGCTCCTGGTTGGATAGTTTGAGTACCTTTGTAATGTCCCCTTTGTTTAGCCCGGCCTTCCACTTATACACCCCTATCAGGTCGCCCCTCGCTCTACGTCTCTCAAGGGAGTGCAAATTAAGATGCTTTAACCTGTCTCTATACTCAAGGTTCCTAATGCCCGGGATTAGTCTTGTCATTCTCCTCTGAATTCTTTCCAAGGATTCTATATCCATTCTGTAATACGGTGACCAGAACTGAACTGCGTAATCCAGGTGTGGTCTCACAAGGGCAAGATACAGTTTTAGGATGACCTCGCTAGTCTTGTAACTAACACTCCTTTGTATGAACCCAAGTACTTTATTCGCCTTGTTATGAGCAAAAACACATTGTTTACTTGGCTTAAGGTTCCTACTTATCATTACTCCTAAATCTCTCTCGCAGTCGGATTTCTCTATAGCATCGTTGTTCATCTGGTATCTGGTTTCCCTGTTTACATCTCCTATACCGAGTACTTTACATTTGTCCACGTTGAATTTCATCTGCCATTTTTCAGACCATTCGAAAAATTTGTTTAGATCTTCCTGTAGTTTTGCGGAGTCCTCGTCAGATTTAACAACACGTCCTATTTTAGTGTCATCAGCAAATTTACTTATGTTGCTGTCTATGCCGATATCTATGTCGTTTATGTATATAATAAATAATAATGGTCCAAGTACCGAGCCTTGGGGAACTCCACTTGTGACGTTGCTCCAATGGGACTTAGTGCCGTTAATGCTCACTCGCAGTTTCTGTCCTGTAACCACGCCCTAATCCATTTAAGGATGTTACCTTGATGCCATGAGCTTCTACCTTTCTAATTAGTCTTCGTGGGGACTCCAATGGCTGGCTTCTACAAAGTCGAGATATACCACATCATAATTGTGCCCCTAGTCCACCGATTCGAAAACTGATGAAAAGAATGTTAATAGATTAGTTAGACATGAACGTCCGCTTGTGAAGCCATGCTGGGAATCATTGATCAATCGGTGCTTCTCCAGGTGATTTCGAATAGAGTTTGAAATGATTGCTTCCAGTAATTTGCCTACTATTGATGTTAGACTGATTGGGCAGTAGTTAGAGGATAGTGATCTATCCCCCTTCTTGAAAATCGGTATTACGTTCGCTATCCTCCAGGATTCTGGTGGTACTACACCTGTTTTTAAGGACATGTTGAACAACTTTGCTAAGGGCATACTAAGCTCTTCCTTACATTCCTTTAATACTCTGGCAAATATCTCATCGGGACCAGGTGACTTAGGCCTTAGTTTGTCTATTTGCTTACTAACATCGTTACTAGTCACTACTATCTCGCTTAATTTGTTTTCTTCACTATCTCTGAATAAAGTCCATGCCCCGGGTATCATGTTTAAATTTTCGGTGGTGAAAACTGTTGAAAAATATTGATTCAAATTATTGCTCATTTCTCTGTCGTTATCAGTGAGCTCGCCGGTGTCTGACCGTATTGGTCCAATCTTTTCTCGTGTTTTAGTTTGATACATTTGGTAGAATCCTTTGGGGTTTGTCTTCGCCTCCCTTGCTATCCTTACCTCATTATTCCTCTTGGCTTTCCTTATCTCGGTTTTAACCCTACTCGCCAATACCCTATAATAATCCCGGAGGTAAATTTTGCCACGATTTATCCTTCTACCTATAGCCTTCCTTTGGCCAATGATGTTCTTTAAATAATTATTTATCCACTTAGGGTCATTGTTGTCTGATCTGAGTTTTTTGTATGGTATGTTCTGCCTTTGTGCATTAAGTAACTCGCTATTTAAATTGTCGTGGAACTCGGCAATCTCAGATCTCGTTATCAGGTCGGTGTCATCTGTCAGGTTCACGGCCAATCGCGACACCCCCTCTCTCAGCTGCCTCTTTAAACTGTCAAAGTTTGCCCTTCTGAAATCTGGTACTTTAGTGGAATTTTCCTTACGTCTGCCCTGAAAATCTAACTGGAATCTAATTTCTTTGTGTATTTCCTAGAAAGACGAAGAGTGTGGGGAGATATTAGAGAGTGGTAGTAACTCTCGACAGGAGCTGCCTTGCACAGGCCAACCGGCCTATTGCAGACTCCTTATTTTCTTATGTTCTTAAAAAAAACCCTATTAAAATAGACCTAACTACACTGAATGAAATCTCGTTTCCAGTTTTATATTTTACCATTAATTCATTGCAATTAGAGTTGCCACAAAGTTTCATCCAATTCTATCAACTCTTTCTGGTGTTAGTCTAAAAAAAAAAGCTACCTAACCGACAACCGAACGATATATTTACGCTTGAATCTGTATCTGTCTCTCTATCTAAGAATCAATATTGAGGTCTGTGAATGGTCACTGTGGAATATTAACCAAAGACTGCTGAGATTTATGAGTAAAATTTTTTTCCATTTCAGACGGAATCAAAATGTCGGAGAACATAAAGGCATGGCTTTATGCCTTTTGTGGGAAGAAGAAGGTCACTCCAGAATATGAAGTCCGAAATTCAGGTAAATAATTGAGTGTCTTGGTAACTTATTAATACTGCACAGTTTAACTACAGGAAATAAAGCTGTAATATAAATGTTACTTGGAGGTTCATGAGTTTCATTATTTCACACTACTGTACAGTATTGAATTATTAGAATTTAAAATGTGCAATAAGAAAATGTGATGGGCTTATAATAACATATTTATAAATACATGCAACGTAAAAACTGCATAACATACTGTAGTATGTGTAGCAGTGATATCTTAGTGTGTGTGACGTGGTTGTTGAAGCCTTTCACAATCTTTGTTGATGGTACCGTACACTATATTAGTTTCCGTTATTTTGTAAAATATGGTTACATATTAAATGTAGGAATGTTTTAAGCATTTTTAATGTGTTGTGTTGTAGTGTTGATTTTTGAAGAAAGCAATAACTGTTTTGTTGTGCTATTGTGACTCGGAACTCCTTTAAATATTCAATGTATCTGCAGCAGACTTGACTGTGAGTGTTCCCTCTCATGGGTATGTACTCAAGGTGAAAGTAGTAAGCAAATAAATTTTTTCCTTAGTCCCCAGGCCACTGAAGACACTTGATTTTGTATAACATGTGTGTGTGTGTCTGGGGTCAAGATAAAGGGGTTACAGAGGAGTCCTCCCCCCTGCCACATCAGGTGTGTCATGCTACCAGTCTCAGGCATGGCATGTATGCCGTGGCAGACAAACACTATACAGGATATTAGTGCATTACTTTATACTACAATTTATTAGTGTTAGGTGATATAGGAAAGTTGTATGGGTCATTCTGCAAATCATAGATCACTTGCTGTGAGTTGTACAAGACCTTCCTAAGATCACCCACTGCCTTGTCCAGGAATTGTTCTGTACAGTATTCATGTTAATGTAGAATTCCATGCTGGGAATTTTCTTAATAAGTGTCTGCTATCACGAATATCTTACAGTACGTAACTTCTAAGCAAAAATATATGTTTTTCAGGCCCAAAGCATCGCCAACGGTTCTTGTGTGAAGTTCGTGTGCCTACCTATAACTACATTGGTGTTGGGAATTCAACATGCAAGAAAGATTCCCAAACTAATGCTGCCAAGGATTTTGTACAGTTTCTCATCCGCCAGCAAGAGGTGACTCCAAGTGAGGTTCCAGATATACAGGTAAAATACTGAAGTAATGGTCACTTATAGTTTATAATCTTGAGGTTTGCAGTTGTGTTGTAATTAAAATAACCCGCTAATTCCCATGACAGATTCCTCTATTGTTAAGTTTTAGATTCAGGACGGTGTGCTACTACAGTCATATAGATGGTTGGATGTTGCTATTGAAAACTTGCTGCTGATGGGTGATGTTGGTTGTGTGGAGCAAGAGGAGGGGTAAGCCAAGTTTGGAGCCTTGTGGTTGGGGAATATCAGAAGACAACATATCTTTCACACCAGTAATAGTGAATGGATGGCAATGAATGAAGGGAAAATATGATTCTGATTGTTTCCAACCAACTTGCATTAAGCTGCAAGAGACTTAAAAGAATAACAAAGAAATTAGGCTATACAGTATTTGTTAATCATAATATATAGTGTTCCCTATGTTATTAAAAAGATTTACTACTACTGTACTGTTAAATGTGTTTTGTCTTTGGTAGGGGGCAGATGTTAGTAATGATGGTGGTGCTCCTGAAGAACAAGGAGAGTTTCATCCCTCTGAACCAATGGCTCCTGTCCCTGGCCTCAGGGATGAAGGAAATGTGTACCGTCCTATTCAAAGAGGAGGTCGACATATGACATACATGGAGCGTGTGCAGGAACGAAAAGCCACAGAGGAGGCAAGTAACTTTTTTTGTTTCTATTAACGTAAAAAATTAACATATGCAGTATATAATTAAATCTTCATTATTTAAAAATAACTGTAATTAGTATTTGCAAAAGCTTCATTGTGGTAATACTGTACTGTACAGGTATATAGATTACTAAATTAATATGTAGGTGACTTGTAGATACAGTATTGTGGTGTGTATCTGTGTGAAGGTTTCACCATAGTTTTATGACAGTTCCCTTATGATTGAATCTTATTGGGGATATCATAAACATATTATATGACTACTACTTGAAAACATATCCTTTAATTACCAGGTAAATTTTTTTTTCAATAGATTATTATACTGTACTATTAAGTTTGTCAGAGTGGGATGTGCATATTCATACATACACACATCCCGGATATTACGATAAACACTTTTTACCGTAACATGAAACTTCTCTTAAGTCATTTGGTTTACCTCCAGGCTGAAGATGTTGATCTTACTGCAAACATCCACGGTAATTGGACAATTGAAAATTCAAAATCTCGTCTTCACATGTTTCTTCAAACAAACAAGATCAAGGCTGATTACAAGTACAGTGCAATTGGTCCTGATCATAACAGGTAAGAAATAATGTGACTGAGTATGGTTCAGCCAGATGTAGTTACAGTACATAAAGGAGGACAGTTTAGTGGTACCTTCATAGTTGTTAGTATAGAAGAGGACAAACTACTGTATTTTGTTATTCACTGTAAAATATGACAGTCATTTTGGTAAGAAGGTCTTTAACCACAAGAATAGTTATGTCTGCTGAGTTAGTGACAGGTGAACTGTACAGTATAGGGTGGTTCATTTGGTTGGAACTACGAGTATGTGGTGTAATAAATACTAAAGATGTTATGGGTACTCTTTTATTATAATACTGTATTGTATATTAATAATTTTTTTGTGATATCTGCTTTCCAATAACATAACAGGTATCTCAGCTGATCAAAAAATTTATTCTTACGCCTTTTTCACTATTCGAAAATGATCCTCACTTGTACAAAAGATGGTCTGATCAAAAATTCAAATCCGCTCACCTTGTGTGCTGAGCCCTTATTGCCCCAAAATAATATAATATACCAATAGTACGGTATATTTTATAGTACAATACTCTATTTGGTTTAACAATTACTGTATAGTAGTTAGGTTCTAAATTACAGTAGTTAAATTTAGGAGCTAAATTACAGTTGTTAGGTAGGTAGATTTAGTTTTTCCTGAAACAATTTCAATTTTTATTTTTTGGTATAATTTTTTTAATCAGACCGTTATTTTTACTATTTATTCCATTATTTTTACTATTTATTCTGTTATTCCCTGTCCAAAATTTGCTGTTTGAATAGTTTTTAAGGCACCTAACAAATTCAGGTTAGGTTTGTTGAGGAAGGCTTCTGTAATTTGATAACAGCTATCTGCTTCACAGGTGCTGACCTTAATGAAGCTATTTAACAAATTACAGAAGATATCTTTAACAAAGTTCATAGTAATTGGGGAGTAAGTTTACAAGAATCTATTAGTAATAATAATGTTGAACAAATACTGTAGGTCCTATGATTAGAAATATTTTTTCAGTCTTTACTACTGCTCTGGTTGATTAGGAAAATTCGTGAAAATTATTTCACCTAGTCTAAATGTTAATTGCTTCTTCATATTGTTGATTAGATTAATTGGGTTAGAATGTTTTATGTACAGTATTGCTTGAGGTGGTGAGTTAGTGATAGGTTAGCACTTTTCTAGATTGTCCTAATTGTGTGGGTGTGTGTGGATGTCAGCCTTGCTACATTTCCAACTAAACGGCTTTACAGGCACAACAGACTCGACAAGATACTTTAGTGTGTGCAGCAGTGATGTGGAGTGAAGCAAAATTGAATAAAGTTTTCTTTTTTTGGTTTTGCCCTTTTGGAAGTTAGTTGTTTAGGATATTGGTGTCATTGTACGCTGCTTTTCCTTTTGTGTCTTTGTGGAGGAGTGCGGTCCTATAGTTGCCGGGGTGGTTGTTTTGCTGGTCGGGTACTGTATCGTAAGGATTTGATAGCGAGTCAGTCCAAAGTCTCCCGTGATGAATATAGTGGTAAGGGTTTTTAGATGGACCACTTTAGGGTTTTTTTACTTTTAATATGGGGATTATGTCTCTCTTTCTGTATGGAGAGCACTTGGTTATGTAGCCAGAACCATTTGAACATTTTACTTTGGTGTGTAAAGCTGTTGGACTTTAGATAATTTGTGGACCTGCTGCTGATTGATGGTTGTTTCAAATTGGTGAGAAGTGAAAGGGGGTTGTATTAGATATGTTTTGATTTTGTTCATTGCTCTGGTGACTTACTGCTGTAGGAAGTGGTTCTGATGCTTTACTGCTTTGGCTGAAGAAGAGTAAGCTTTTGAATTTTAGGTTTATTTAATATATTTAGTCATTAAAATCTTATTGCAAATGAAAGAAAATTTTCAGGTATCCTAGTAAAAACATATTGAACTTGTTCGGTGTGTTCAGACTTTGATACCTGTATGGTAATGTGTATGCAATATTTTAGTGAAATTATTATGCATTAAATTATTGCCTTATTAACCTGGTAAATAATCCAGGTTTCAAAGGCAAAAGGCCTTTTTCTCTGTCATTTTTATGAGATAATGAGAAAAAGGCATGTTACTTTTTCTCATAATCTCAGGAAAAAAAGCTGAGTCTGTGAGGAACATTGCTCTATGACAAACAAAGCCTCTTGAAGACCACAGGCTGGGCCCAGAGTTGACTAATCTCTGAGCTTAGCTTGTTTCTTGCACTGTTCCAGCCTTATGATGTGCACTATTGTAAGTGATGACATGGTGCTGTATTTACCTAACTGTAGAGTAAATACTTTGGAATTAGTCACTGCTGAAGTGTAAATTTTAAAGACTCTTTTTGTATAAACAGAACAAGTTTCCTAAATCCAGTTGACTGAAAATCTTTAAGAGTATTAATAACTGTTAGTAGGACAGTTGGCTGCCTTTGTACAAGGAATCACTATTTTGTGAAGGTGAGAGATTTTCCCAACTCATTTTGACTGACCTCTGGCTATACTCAGACTATGGCTTCCCTTAAGAGCACTAGTATTGTCTGTGCATGATAGCACATTGTCAGTGAAGAGACTTACAGGGATAGGTTGAAAAACAAAAAAGAATAAAGTTATTAATAGACAATAGTAATGTTTAATGTTTTTGATTTTATGAAAGACGATGAGATGGTTACCGGTCATAAACACTGTTATTGGGTAGACATCATAGAGTACAGTACAGTATATACCGTAGCTCTGTTTGTATTACTATTTGTAGCCATATTGTTTTCTTAGCTGTTACTTGGTCTTTCATGCCTTGATGGACATGATACTTTACCCATCCCTTGCCTATAGGCAGATGAAATCCCTTACGGAATTTGTTATCTTTGGGTTAAAGGTCAAGATATTTGTTGTAAAAGATGTATGTAGTTTTTCATCCGTAACCATAATTTTTGTTTTTACATGATGGGGCCTAAGTACAGTCGTGAGCAATAGTCATGCGACTTATGGTACTTTTAATACAAAGACTTAAAATGCCCAACAATGAAGGTTGTAGCAAATAACAAACTGCCTGCCTGAATGACTTATAAGCTGTTAAGTGGTAGAAATTATAAATTGGATTAGAAAGAAAGCAACATTTGTTTAGGAAATTCTGAAGAGTTTCTACAGACTTCTGTATCTTACGTTAGTGTTTCCGTGGACAATGGCAGCTAACCATTCTAGTATAATATCTGTTATGGGAATGAAATATTGTATTGTATATAGGTTATGATTTAACTGCATGTAACTAGTAACTTTCACCTAATGTTCATGATGATATATTCCTCTTAACAGTAATGATATCTGATGGTCTGATTGGTTATTTCACCTTAATTATTGAGGATTAAGAAAATATATGGTATGGACTTGGAACTTGATCTTGAAACTCATGAAGTATTATCCAATTAGGGAACACAAAATGATCATTATAAAGACGACAAGTCAAATAAAAGTATATGAGGTCATCCTCAACATCTTGTGGCTGGAAAACCTTCTTCCATGAGCAGTGTTCCCCACAGGCAGCAGCTGATGGGACCACCACCAAGACCACGACCCAGTGTAATCATTTAGAAGGTTAGTGTAAGTGAGGAGGCCAATTTAACACATCAAAACCTTCTCATTCCAACAGGTTTTCACTCCTTGTGTCTTTTTAATGTGAATACTGTATTAATCTCTTGTGCATTTACTATATATATATATATATATATATATATACTGTATATTGTTTCTAGGACAAATTGGTGGCTTGTGTTAGTGGCTTAATTTTAGTTACCTTAGTTTGCATTATAATGTTCTTGCTTGGATTTGAGCTTTGGGAAACAGGCTGTATTTCAGAAAGTACTTGACTCTTTTATCTTGAAGAAATCAATAAGTATTATGCAAACAGTATCGAATTGCTAACCAAGGAAGAGTTTTAAAAGTTATGTTTATGTTATTGAAACCTTCTCTTTTATTCATTCAGTATCTTGAAATTCAAACCAAACCCATCCAGTTATTGTACACTCGCTCCAAAAAGTATCTCACGTTTTTTGTGTGAGGCAGTGTAACACAACGGATGAAGGATTCTGACAACCCTACCGATACAGCAGGAGTCATTTTGTAGATTATTGAACCCTTCCGTAAAGATACTTTTTGGGGCCAGTGTACACATTCTCACATGGTATTTGATTAGGATATATCTAATAAATAACTTCCAAATCTTTCCCCGTTTAATGCAGGATGGTTGGATATGAGCACACCCACCTACCTATTTTTTCTTCTTTACTGTATTTATCATTCATTCATTCCTTCTGCTGTAAATGATGTCATGTTATGGCACAGTGCAGTACTCCCATTCCTCAATACTGTACTGTAATGTCTTGTTCTTGTTTACCCTTGTTGCACAAAAGTTGGTCAGCGTCGCCCATCAGCAATACAATCGTTCCCAAAACTCGCTCTGAAATGAGGAGAGAGACGGACAGCTGGTGATCACTTGGTATAATTTCCTGCATTTGTCATTAAACTGGACACTTTACTCCTGCGTCTATCTGGTGATTTTGGATATGTAATTGTAAAATATCTATATATGATGGGAATGTTTGGTTCATTTTTGAGTGTAGGAATGTGTCTTTGGTTATATATTGATTGTATATGCTTGAATAACTTTTTGTGTGTTTTAAAAGATACAGTATGTAGAGCTTTTCGGGAATGTACATATTTTATAAAAGAAGGGAAGACTTTTACTGGCATTTCTTTCCAGCCACCCTGCATTAGGCAAGAGAAAGCTGGGGATTTCTATTTTTTGACCTAACAAAATCTTTTTATGTCAGTTCTGTAACCAGTGTATCACCATGTAGATACAGCTTGGCCTTTAATTTGTATGTAACGCTTTTATTAATTCGGTTCCAAAAGTCCGCCTGTAGAATTAATATGTCCTCTTCTCATCACCCGTATAATTTACCCTTTCTCCTCTCATTCAATTTTACTTAGTTTCTCAGTTTCATGAAAAAGATCGATCACTGTAACCACGATGATTTTGATACGCTCGTTACATGTATCCACATACTGTACAGGATTAGGGTCACGATTGCATAAAGCAAAATTATGGAGACTGTTCTATATTCCCCTGTGTTAATGTGGATATTATCAATAGATCCGTGTTTTGTTTTCATGTGCATGATCAGCTATTCACTAACTTCGTATTCTTTGTCATCTTACTGTTCACATGTTCTCCCGATTCCTGTATACTTTTATATCTGTCACATACCCATTAACATGACTCATACTTTGCAAGATATTCGTCATGGTATCTTAAGATTTTTTAGAGTGTTTTGGTTAATACAATGTTAAATTTGAGACCATTCTTCTTTCTCTTATTTACTTATTTAAATGTTCAGTTTCATGTTGGTCCACAAGAGAAGGAACTGCTATACCCTCTTCTGCAGACCTTTGTCAATCATCAAGGTTCTCAATTTCAACTTGTTCATTTCTTAAAAAATGTAAATAGATAAGTTATTTTATTTAAGGGTTTTTGTTCTTTTCACTGATTATAATGCTAATTACTTTGTCTTCTTTATGACAGGAGTTTTGTGGCTGAAATGTCCTTCTATGTAAAAGCACTTCAAAGGAGTAAGTATTTTACTGTAGATTGTTCCCCTTCATATATGTTGTCTTGCACGTTGAGGTGAAAATTGGGAAGAGTCTCTTTCATGGTTTTGACTACACCACTGGTATTATCGCGTGGGAAGACAAGCAGAAGTCATAACTCAATGTAGTCAAGGATCATGTAGTTTGTTCTGATACGATGTAGAGATTGCAATAGTCGTCTTGGGAAATTGTTAATGAAATAGAATGTCAGCTTAGAATATATTGTACTGACATTACAGTACTTTCTAATTTACATATTTAAATTCACAGATATTAATGCACGAGAAACTGGGTCAAACAAACAAGCTGCCAGTAAGAGTTGTTCCCTGTCACTCGTGCGACAACTCTACCACTTGAATGTGATTGAAGCATTTTCTGGAACACTTAAGAAGAAGGAAACTGAGCAGCTCAAACCTTATGGAGTTTCTCTCTCACCCGAACACATAGCCCTCATAGATTCTGTGATAAAGATTACAGGTGTTCACCCAATGGAACCAGTAAGTTTGTAGAAACACTTTCAATTGGTTAAAACAAATATAGTATATGGGTAAGCTTAAGGCTGCTTTCACACAATCTTTTTTTTTGGGGGCACATTTTATAAATCAATGGACACCCACCCATGTAAGAGGTCCCATTTAGTGTTTCACGACTAAAAAAAACTATTGGATGAAAGTGGTCTTAGATGTTGCACATGGTAGCCTTTCTATGATTGTAAGTAAATACAGTACATTTCAGGTTGTTTCCTTTCTTTTATTTATGTTGCATTGTTATTATTGGTTGTTTAAGAAAGTTATCAGATGAAATTATGACTATTTGACTGTGAGTTTTTCTTCCTTCAGTCTGGGGATCCTTCTCAACCCTGCACTCTGATTCCTGATGTTAAATTAACTGATTTTGAAACCTCAGACGGCCCTAAGACTACAGGTGGAGTTGTGTCTTGGTCACCGCCTCAGCCAAACTGGAATGCATGGACAAGCTGTAATTTGGATGAGGGTCCTTTAGCTACAGTAAGTATTCTAAGACAGGGAATGTGTAAACCCAAGCCACCAGACATTATAATTTATATATATTGTCATAAGTTGGATGCTTTAATACATAATCATAATCAGTCATATTATATTATTTTCCCCCTCCAGCTTTCTTTGGATCAGATTAGTTCTGATTTACAAAAGACCCATCGAGATCGCCTACAGACAGACCAGGTGCTTCAGTCAAGGACTCAACAGAGAACACAGTTACCAGTGTTTCACATGAAGCAGAATATAATGTCCGCGATATATGATAACCCAGTCACTGTCATCAGGGGGAACACCGGCTGTGGAAAGACAACTCAGGTACGGTACCTATTGATTATAATTTCAGCTTAAGTGTCATGTGAATGATGGTATGTTTAATTTTGCTCAGGGATTGTGTGACGCAAAGGAGTTGTGGAGAAATATGAACGAGTTTGAAATACTGTAAATAGAATTGTAGAGAGAGAGAGAGAGAGGATTGATAAATAATTAGTGTACCGTGAGGAGCAGTGCAGTGTCTGAACATTAATTTTTCCTCCACAGGTTTGTCAGTTCATCTTAGACGATTACATTCAGTCAGGATCAGGAGCCTACTGTAATATAGTCATCACTCAACCTCGACGTATATCTGCGGTGTCCGTTGCCGATCGCGTTGCTGCCGAGCGAGCGGAAGACATCGGCGAGAGTGTTGGCTATTCTGTTCGGTTTGAGTCAGCACTACCAAGACCATATGGAGGAATTTTGTTCTGTACTGTTGGAGTTTTGTTGAGAAAGCTGGAAGCTGGACTGAGAGGTGTTTCTCACGTGATTGTTGATGAAATTCACGAGAGGGACATTAATACAGACTTCATCCTCATTGTCCTCCGTGATATGGTAAACAGTTTCTTGTCTGTTTCATCAGTAATTTAATAGGGAGCAAATCTGAACCATTAGACTGCTAATAAAACATTAATATTGTTTATATAAATACCAGTACATAACTATGTTTGGTATATGCACTGGATTATAAATCTTTGTGATGATTGAGTGAATGCTTATCATCCACTTGTTTACGTGTGTCGCACGTCAGCAAGTGAGAATAATGTTCTTGTTGTTACAATGCAAACTTATATTTTCCTTTGGAATTGCTTAGTATTAGGGCAGGTTGCTATTTTCCTATATTGTACTGTACAGACTTGGTAGATGTATTCTGTAATACATATTACTGATACTTATTGTGGTGTACTGTACTTTTTTAACAGGTACGAGCCTTCCCAGATCTTCGCATTATTCTCATGTCTGCCACCATAGACATTTCTCTCTTCTCTGAGTATTTTGGCAACCCGTGTATAATTGAGGTGGAAGGACGAGCCTTCCCTGTACAGCAGTACTTCCTGGAGGACTGTATTGAACTCACTAAATTTGTTCCATCTCCAGATTCCAGAAAACGGAATAAGAAGGTCAGTTTAATTCCACAATAGAAACTGAATTACTGATATATATATATATATTTTTTAAATTCATTGATCACTTTACTTGAAAAGTTTGGTTATACTGTATTGAATTTTATTAATGCTATAGGAGAAAGATGAGGAGTTGCCTGGTGAAGAACCTGAAGAGAATCTGAATATTGTACGCTCTGATAAGTACTCACCAGCCACAAAGCAGTCCTTGGCCATGATGAATGAGAAAGATATGAACTTTGAGTTGGTGGAAGCCTTACTTAAATATGTTGATGGCCTTGACACACCAGGAGCAGTGTTGATATTCCTTCCCGGTTGGAACCTCATCTTCACTCTCATGAGACATCTTAAGCAACACCCAGTGTTTGGTATGTCTTTGTTAGCATAACTGAGCATTGTCTTATTGTTAATACCCATCCCTGAATAAACACACTCTTGCTTGACCTTAGCCTTTACTTTTTTCACACAGACAAAATGGAGCCTGTGAAAGCTAAAACCGTTCTGAAATTTTTTTTTTTCTTCTTGATCCTGTTTGATATTAATTTGAAGCAACTTAATAGAAGAGTCTTATTCAATGTTGATCAATTTAATTCTCTTAACAATTGTACAAAGACTGCATATCAGTGTAACTTTGTTTCTTTTATTCTGAAATGTAAAAAAAAAGTTTTGTTATATTTTGTTACATTAGTTTAGTGCACTAAGGAACTTTACCTCCTCAGGTGGACACCGTTACTGTGTGTTACCTCTACACTCGCAGCTTCCAAGAGAGGACCAGCGCAGAGTATTTGACCCTGTTGCTGATAATGTCAGAAAGGTTAGTGTGAATCTGATAAGCTGACCTATAAATTTCTGTCGATAGTTTTTTTTTTATTTATGTAATCTGTGATATTTGTTACTTATCCAGTGTTTAGTTCACTAACACTTGGATATACTTGTTCCTTAGATTATCCTGGCAACCAACATTGCTGAATCCTCCATCACCATTGATGATGTGGTGTTTGTGGTTGACTCGTGCAAAGCAAAAATGAAGCTCTTCACGTCACACAACAACATGACCAATTATGCTACAGTGTGGGCCTCGCGTACCAATCTGGAGCAGCGCAAGGGTCGTGCTGGAAGAGTCAGAGCCGGCTGTTGTTTCCACCTGTGCACTTTGGTACAGTAACAGTTGTTGTTCTAATATTGAAGTCTTGAATTTTGTGTGTGTGTGTGTAATAAGGTAAACTAGATCAATGCTTACAGACGCATAATCTTTGTATAAATATTAACACAAGGTGAGAAAGATTAGGTCCAGATGAGGTATAATTAAGGTCTATTTTGAAAGTATTTTACGCCTCTAATGATACACACACACAAACACACATTATGACTAGTTGTTGTGTAGGTCAGGTCAGGTTAGGTTTAAATAAGCTTCTCCCGTCAACTGAAAACTAAACAATACCAAGAGTGTCGTTTGTGGTAATCCCTGGACTCACCACTACACACACGACTACCACCAACCACTGTCCACACTGCTACCACTACCACCACACAGACACCACTACCACTACACACACCACTACCTCCACACACACCACTACCTCCACACACACCACTACCACCACACACACCACTTGGAGTCAGACAAGACCTCACTATTTTGTGGGCCAAAGTTTCCAGATTTCTCACCCGATATTACTGTGGAACCCGGACCTAAGGCGGATAAGGGAGAGGGGATAAGAAGAGGATGAGAGGGGAAGAAGATAAGAAAAGGAGGAGGAGGAGGATAGGAAGAGGAGAGGAGAAGGGGGAAGGAGTCTATGATAATAAAACCTAACCCAACCCAACCCAAGCTAATAGGAGTATAACATGACCACGTAAAGCCTCTCTTGAACTTTTAACTTTAAGTATTATGGGATGGTGGAATTTTAGCCCCCCCCCCCCTCCATACTCACACTTAAGTCCCTTCATTTACTAGGGATTTAAGGAAGAGAAGAGAGAGGATAGAAGAGAGAGCGACGGAGAGAATGGGGGAAAAGGTTGAGAGGAAGAAAGGCAGGAGCTAAGTGAGAGAGAACAATGGGGAAAGGGAGAAGAATAGGGGGAGGGAGGAGAGGAAGAGGGGGGGGAGGGGAAAACGATGGGAAGGATGGAGAATACATTTCCCTCTACCACAATACTAAGAGTGAGTGAGTGAGTTAAGGAGAGTTTGCGTGAATGTAGGTGAGTGAAAGTGAGTGAGTGAATGAGTGAGTGAGAGCGAGAGCAGTAACACACCACCTCAGTATAACTACACCAGCTGAATAACAGGATACAACAGAAATAAGTCCAATACTATACAACCAACAGTTAAGTTTATAAGTATGAGGTACTGGCTGTGGTCTGACGTTTAGTAATAATATTATGTAACGGTTTATTGAAAGAGCACAGCAGCTGGAAGGCTGAAAATACAGTTATAAATTGGGGAATGGGTTTCGATTTACAAATAATATACAAGTAACATAAGTGATACAGATAAGATATATAATAACTAGATGGGGAAAAGCTCAAACTACAGGGCATTTCAACATAGCCCTAGTTTCTTATCTGCTTATTTAACACCATCACCACCACCACTTCACCACACCTCCACTACACCACAGGCACCATCACCACTACACCACCACTGGCACCAACACCACTACACCACCACTGGCACCAACACCACTACACCACCACTAGCACCAACACCACTACACCACACACTGGCACCAACACCACTACACCACCACTTGCACCATCACCACTACACCACTTGCACCAACACCGCACACCCACCACTGGCACCATCACCACTACACCACTTGCACCATCACCACTACACCACAGGCATCATCACCACTACACCACCACTGGCACCTCACCACTACACCACTGCACCCTCACCACCATCACCACTACACCTGGCACCATCACCACTACACCCCAACATCATCACCACTACACCACACTGGCACCATCACCACTACACCACAGGCATCATCACCACTACACCACCACTGGCATCATCACTACTAAAGCACCATCACCAGTACACCACTGGCACCATCGTCACTACACCACAGGCACCATCATCACTACACCACCACTGGCACCATCACCAATACACCACAGGCATTATCACCACTACACCACCACTGGCACCGTCACCACTACACCACAGGCATCATCATCACTACACCACCACTGGCATCATCACTACTACACCACAGGCATCACCATCCACTACACCACCACCGGGACCATCACCACTACACCACAGCCACTATCACTACCACACCACCACTGGCAACATCACCACTACACCACCACTGGCATCAACACCACTACACCACAGGCATCATCACCACTACACCACCACTGGCATCAACACCACTACACCACAGGCATCATCACCACTACACCACCACTGGCACCATCACCACTACACCACTGGTACCATCACCACTACACCACAGGCATCATCACCACTGCACCACCACTGGCACCATCACCACTACACCAAGGCCACCATCACTACCACACCACCAGTACCGCAGTATTCCAAGCTAACTGTGTAGCATCTCCCGTTCCTTCTGAACAATGTGATTTTTTCTAATATTAAATATATAATAATACGAGTGGAAACAATGACAGTATCTCGAAACAAAATATTGGTGGGACTCACACTCCTATTGGTGGGTAGTTATGTGGGTGTGCTGACTGCTAACAAAAGGCTCTAAACTAAACACGAACTGTTGACTCTAATGGAGCAGGAGTAGACGTACCGCACCAGGAGAAAACTCCACCAGATTCCTGTGGTAGGCAAATTATTCGCCACAGTCCTCAAGATCCCAGACCTGCCGCAGCCTGACTACACTGGCCCCGACACACTGGTTCATAAAATTCCTTTCATCGGTGACATCCTCCTCTTCGTTCACCTTCACGAATCAATAAATGAAAAAAGATTAATAATAGAGAAGATTGTGCCTCTGGCAACTAAGGAATAACTACTAGAATAAATCGTCATTTTTCTCTTGGTATTATTCATCTTCTGGAACTTAATTTGGCATTATTTTGTTTGTCGCAGGAAAAATATTCATTTCACAGGGGGTTTTCGTCAAACGCAAGTACCTAACAAAAAAATGGAACCCACCACAAAAAATATATCATAATCAACAGAAAACGACAAGCCCACAACAGAAAATAAATCCACAGAAACGGAAAACGACAAGCCCACGACAGAAATAGTATCCACATAAACAGAAAATGACAAACCCAGGACATAAAATAAACCCACACAAACAGAAAACGACAAACCCACGACTGAAAATAAATCCACATAAACTGAAAACGACAAGCCCACGACAGAAAATATATCAACACAAACAGAAAACGACATGCCCACGACAGAAAAAAAATCCACACAAACAGAAATCGACAAACCCATGACAGAAAATAAATCTACACAAACAGAAAACGACAAGCCCACGACAGAAAATAAATCCACATAAACAGAAAACGCCACGATAGAGCCCGTGGTATCGGTAAAAATTACAATTTATTCTGATAAATCCATGAAAGTGGTGGAGTGATACAGCGTCTCACCACAGCTCAGACATTTTATTTAAAGACACCGGGCACACACTTCACTGTCTGCAGGTGGAGGGGAAGGAGGTAGGGAGTGAGAAAGAGGGGGAAGAGGAAAAGGGAAGATAGAAAGAAGGAAGAAGATGGAATGAAGAAAGGAAAAGGAAAATGAAGGGAGAAATGGAAGGGGGGAGAGAGCCAGTCAGCACGAGAGGACCTTCAAGGCCAGAGTTTCACGACTGTTGAACCACTTCACAATTGTTACTGTGCTTTACTATGTCATTTTTCTACAATATTATTTACTATGTCTACATTATTATTTTCTTAGTGGCTTTAATTAATCCAGTGTCCTTAACTATGTATTTTATGATAGTTTTTCGTAACAATCCTGGGGAAGGTTTTCAGATAGAATAGTTTTTACCCAAATTGTCCTTTAAACCAGTTATCATGTGATTAGGCCTGAACCTTGTCAGTGATCCCCATGTAATCAACCGTTTAAATGAATACAGCCAGAGAGAGATAATTATTACGTCGCTGCCACTGTCACCACCATACGACCGGTGCCATTATCACTACTATACAACTGCCACCATCACCACCACACCACTGGTGCCATCATCACTACCTCACCATTGCCACCATCACACCACTGGTGCCATCATCACTACCTCAACATTGCCACCATCACTACTATACATCACCATAACACTCGCAGATTAGTTTCTTCTAAAGTGTTTCTGGAAGTTATTCATTGACGCTTATGGTTATACTCTTTGTTTACTGGTAAACAGAGCTTGCTAGTGTTATCTTCACATTAATGCCGTCTGCTGAGTTTATTAGCATAAATTAAGCACCATATCATTTCAGGGTTCTTTAAGATTATTATAAGGTTACGGTTAAACCAACTGCTTAAATACAGTCCTTCCTTAGAAACCTGATGACTTGTGACATCTTGCTGTGTGTGTTGGAATCATGTAAAGTGTTATCTGTTTAAGGGATAACTTAAACACTAGGTACGTCCTTTTATCAATAGATAAATTATTACAGGCCAGGTTTGAGAAACTAGAGGAGCACATGACACCAGAGATGTTCCGCACCCCCCTACATGAAGTGGGTCTCTCTATTAAGCTTTTACGTCTTGGGGCCATTGGGGAGTTTCTTTCCAAGGCTATTCAGGCTCCACCTATCGATGCTGTTATTGAAGCAGAAGTCACATTAAGAGGTAAGCCTGACAATTTTTTTTTTGTGTCTTTAAAGAAAATATAATTGTGTGATAGCCTGTGAACTCTTTCTTTATCTATTAATCTTAATTCTCACCTTGGTGGGATAGAATGGAGGTTGTGACTCGCCAAATATCATCTGATTTTTCTACACTTTTTGGTCTTTGAAGCTAGGCAGGAGCTTGTTATAGAGACATTTAGTAGTGTAAGAATTGACTGAACTGTATCCCTCTTCCCCAGAAATGAAATGTTTGGACTTGAGAGATGAGCTAACTCCACTTGGTCGTATCTTGGCTAGACTGCCAATAGAGCCTCGCCTGGGTAAGATGGTGATTCTTGGTTGTATATTCTTCTGTGGTGATGCCATGTGTACTATTGCTGCTCACAACTCAACTTCTCCTGAAATTTTCATAATCCGTAAGTATATATTGTACTGTATTTAGTAATGATGTGGATGATGTTAAAGACATTGCAATTGAAGGTTTTGCCAAGTGCTGCTTTCTGATTAATCAATTATTCAGTAGTCAATAATTCTCTAGTACATTGTTAAATTTATATATATTACTGTACGGTATATATAAACTAATATTTTTATATTACTACAGCTCCAGAACACCGTCGACTTAGCCCATTCCAACGTGCTTTTGCTGGCAATAGATTCAGTGACCACATAGCAGCACTCAGTGCATTTAATGCATGGGAGGAAGCCCGAGCTGGAGGAGAAGATGCTGAGATACGGTTTTGTGATTACAAAGGGCTCTCTATGCCAACCCTTCGGGTTACTTGGGAAGCCAAGGTTAGTTGACTTTTATTTTGTGTGTGTGTGTGTGTGTCTTACCCTTCAAAGACTGAGAAATTTTCAGGGGGAACACTTACAGGATTGCTCTTTGCCCATCCTTGCATCTTTCTTACTTTCTTCCAGAGGGAATTTATGGATTACTTTTTATCTGGCTGGACTTTGTGAATGAGGATTGTGTGTAAATGGGAAGAAAATTTTCTTGTAATTTAGTAGATACTTAAGGACAAGATTTGAGCATGAATTTGTGCTTGGTTTGGTAACATTTAGGTACTGTACAGTATTTCATTTATATTTTCTTAAAAAAGATTTTCCCTAATTGGTAAATAATATAGAAAAGAATTGTTTTGTATAAATACATGTTAATGAGGGATACTTGCATCTTCAGGTTTTAACAAGCATTGCCATATTAAAACAGTATTTGACACCTGGCGGCTGGAATATGAACACAAGTATCCCACAGTGAACTGCTGCCGTCACTGTAAAACTATGAATTATAGGAAGTAATTTGTGTTTATACTTTTACTGTACTGTAGAAGTTTTATACTCTGATGATAAAATGTTTTACCTGTAGTTTTCTTTTATGTGATACAGAATCAGCTGAAGGAGTTACTTGTGAATGCTGGCTTCCCAGAGGAGTGTCTTCTGCCTCAGTCATATAACTTCTATGGTCCAGACCCTAAGTTGGACCTGGTAGTGGGTCTCCTCGTCCTTGGACACTACCCTAATGTCTGTGCCCACAAGGATAAACGAAAGGTACTTAGAAGTTTTTAAGTACCGCATTAAATTTCATTATTCCTGATTTTATATATTACTGTATTGTTTATTAATATTTTTCCCCAGTCTTGTAAAACTTGTGCTCCTATGCTGCAGTCTGGCTGAAATAAAGAGCAAACGTATTCTCCCTTCATCTGTTTATTTATTTTCACAGTAGTTGTCACAGTCATTTTGCAAAGAATTCTTCTCGATATAAAGTTATGAGCTGAAAATGTACAATATTTTATTCATGTGATCACATTGACACAAACTGTATCCTTTTATTTTTCATTCCAGGTGCTGACCACAGAAAATAAGGCTGCTCTCATTCACAAGTCATCTGTCAACTGTAGCAACTATGAAATGACCTTCCCCTCTCCATATTTTGTCTTTGGAGAAAAGGTTTGTGTAACACGTAATTCTTCTCCTTATAAGTACAATACAGCACAAGGTTTACATGGATTTCATGACAGGTTATTTTTGTAGAATTTAGAAACCTAAAAATTTTTCATGTTTATTATTTTATTTTTCTCGTAAATTTCTTTGTTTTATTGTAATTCATTCATTCTTGCTGCTGTATAAGTTGTGTTCTGTTTTGGAATTCCGCTTCCCCCAACAAGGACTAAATCTGGTTTACCCTTCTTGCCTCAAACAAGTTATGAGAGATACTTTATTTTTCTTAAGTCTGGCTCTTCTGTATTGATATACCCCCTGTAGTAGGCTTGTAAAAGAAAGAAATATTATCTTATAAATAGTTGATTGGTGTGTAGTTTGGTATATGGTTGTTTATTCTACAGATTCGTACACGAGCAGTATCATGCAAGCAGATGACAATGGTGACACCGCTCCATCTGATGCTGTTTGGAGCTAGACGTGTAGAAGCTGTGGAGGGTGTTGTAAGTACCTATTATACCACATTGTTGGTTTTGGCAAGATTTTAATTTTTTATGTGCTGGTTGGTATATTTATGGAGAGAAAAGAATGCCTGGCACTAGACATCAAAACTTGGGTGCAGTATATTTTATAAAAGTGACCAGTTTTATGGGATATTCGCCAATTCTGTAAAATTCTGATACTACCCTAGTTATGCTTGATGACCGATACCATTTAGAGCTTTTTATCTTTTTCATTGGTTGGGGTGTTGTGACTGATAGGATAAAGGGCTAGTCTCCTGCCCTCTTATTTTGAAGTTTATTTATTTTTTTTATGTGGGTTGATGTTGTTATAGAATTGAAGAGAAATATTAAGTTCTTAGATGGGTTTCCTTTGTGAGGGTTCAGGAAATGAGTTGAATCCATGTGTGAATGTTTTCCTCTTGTAAATTTACTACCCTTTAAACAGGTTCGTTTAGATGGATGGATCAACTTGGACATGCCAGCAGAACTTGCAGCCAAGGTTATGGTATTGAGGCCAAGTGTAGAGTCCCTCGTTATTAAGGGAGCAATTACCCCAGAGGGTGTAACAGAACCTTCACATCAAGATGAACAGGTCAGTTACTTCTGAAGATGAAATGTTCATATACTGTACTGTACATAGATTAGCTGCTGATAGAGATTAATTACATATTAATCATTGGGTCTTTATTATACATTTTGTACATTAGCCAGTTCGTCGACAAAATTAAGGTGTTGACCACAGACATTGACTAAAATATCCCTGTTGGTATAATGTAGGTGAGGTTAGCCAGAACATACAGTAATTGTGGACTCTTTCAGGTCATGAACTGTCTGCGTCAGCTGAGCCGCCTGAATGCTGGTCGTCACAACATGGAACAGATTAGTACGGGAGGCTTCAACACACCAAGACCTCCGCGCCAGTTTGGTGGACCGCCGATGAAGAGAATGAGGACAGATGATGGACCAGGTATTAGACATATGGATTTATGTTTAGGGAGATTTACTGTGAGCAAAGGTAAAATGAAGGTTAATTTAGAAAAGGGTGTGAAAGGATGATAATGCATATACAGTCTCTCCTCGACTTACCACAACCCGGATATATGACGGCCATGGTTTTATAAAATATTTTTCACATTGCGTATTTTCGAGTCCCAAAGTTAGTGATCGCGCTGTGTACTGACAAAACTTTTTTTGCAAATCCCTTTAAAATGGCAGGCAAGCATAAAAGTGAGAGTTCTCGTGGTGCTGAGAAGAAAAAGGGACACCCATTGTAGAATTTCTATGTGTTATTTTCACCTTTTCGACTTATGACCTGGTCGTCGGGACTGAACCTCGTCGTAAGTCGAGGAGAGATTGTAGTGTATGTAATTATTCTTGATTTTAGCCAACCTGTGTTATAGTAGAATAAAGCTTAAGGAAAGTTCATATTAATCCTTTTTCAGTATACAATTCAAATAATTTCCCCATTTCCATTAATTCTTGGTACAGTACATTACTTTAGATTTATCCAAAGTCTTATCCATCTTCCTGTCATTCTTCTTTAAATATATGAGTACTATCTCTTACTTATGGGTGAAACATTCAGTGTAGTTTTTAATATTTTTCCAAATCCTCTTTTCTCCTATTTCTCACTCATCAATGTGTACAATGAAAGACATAAGTCATATGGTGAAAACATATGCTGAAGGGCTGAAACTTTTGGTGCGCTCTGCCTTGTGGTAGGACTCTCATAATGTTTCTCGAGTTATGTTTAATCTTCGGACAAAACCGCGACACGACTTTTGTCTTTGATTGTACGTGTGTGCAGTAGCCACTCTCAAACCCCACTTTTAGTATTGATTTATTACATTTTTAGATTCAACACACACTGTATTCTATCACATGACTCCATATTTTTCCAATGATGATTTTTCTTTTTCTTTTAACAGGTAGAGATATGGGTGGAGGGTTCAGAGGAGGTTACAGCAACAACAGTGGGTTTGCGGAAAGGGCCAGTAGGGGCTATGGTGGTGGCCGGGGTGGGTATGGAGGTGGCTTCAGAAACAGTGGTTTTAGAGGTGGTGGGTACGGTGGTGGTGGTGGTAGCAATCGTGGAGGTTATGGTGGCTATCGTGGAGACCGGGGTGGCTATGGTGGAGGTAGAGGCTTTGGTGGAAATCGAGGAGGTTATGGTGGAGACCAAGGAGGCTATGGTGGGAACCATTGATGCCCTGGGGATGACACTTGCCAAGTAAGTTTTGTTTCTTGAACTGAGCTTCATATTATGCTTATACTAAAGCTGAGGTACTGGTGTTGTGTACTGCTAGGGATTGTGAGCTGGTGAATTGTAACCTATGAGATGTTTGTTTCCTTTTATTTGGGGTTTTCTCTTAAATAGTTAAAATTACAATGAAGGTTTTGATGGATGTCATATACAAGTTTTTGTAAATAGTATGTTGGGCAATACACAGATGGTTCCAAAGTTATCCGAGGCATTATTTATTAGTTTTGCTCGGAGGGTTTTAGGAACATGACTACTGGAGAGGGAATAGAAGTGAAAGGTTTAGATGCATTTCCCATCTGCCGATTATTATTATTATTTTTTAAGTGTTATATGTCAAGGAACACATTAAGATTGCTCGCCACCAGTTGACAGTTAGGGAGTAAATACTAGCCCTTAGATCAGTCTCTTAATAACCAAATCTGATAACTATATTTAGATATTTCTTTTATTTATTAGCTTTATTTTATATACCTCTGGGCATTCCAAAGGAAAACTATTTTTTTTTTATGTAAAGATATTACACAATGTTGAAATTATAACTCTTCAAGCATAAGAGTAGGCTTAAGTTTTAAGTTGTCTTATCTTGAAATATAAGAAAAGTATCGATTGTAATTTTTACTTTCTAGTAATATTACGTTTTCTACTATGTAATTCTGATTGTATATTTGTTATCAATTTCATAGGATATTAGAGTGAAAATAGTGTATTGCTGTATTAATATATTAGTACTGTACAGAGTTAGCAAGTGAGTTACTTTTATTAACAAAAATTCATGTCTCAAAACACTAACAAATATTGGGAAATAAAGAACTGAACACATGTTGTTTATATATGATTCATCAGATCTTTCATTTATCTTGAATACAATAATAAAGTTGAGATGATGTTCTTGCCAGTCTTTGTTTTGAAAAGTTTGAACAAAATGAGCTCCACTGTTTTAATTGAACTGACTTTTGGTATTGTCAGACCTGTTAAGTATTAGATGTGTTATATACTGTACTCCTACTCTACTTAGGTAAACAGTTTTTAGTCATCCATTTATTCTTTCTTCACCCAACAATTTTAATTGAAAAAAAAATTGGTTTTAGGCTGATTGCCTTGAAATTGTACTCCAATTTTTAGGCCAGACAAGAGAAAAACAAGAATGACCAATAATTAATTGGTCATATGGCAGCATGAACTGCACATGACACAAGAGACAATCTTATAACTCATGTCTGGAAATGCTATACACATAGACATAATGTTGGCTGTGCTTTGAATTTAGACCATGACTAGTGCTGATTTTTTAATCAAGTAAACTGAATGCAGGTGTCCCTCACTGTATTTGACTTCACTACTGTAATTTTGCTGTTGCATGCTGGACATTTCCTCACATAAGAGGAAAAATAATTTACAATTATGCAGCTGGCTGGGTTGAGTGTGTGAAACTCATGCGACCAGTGTCAGCACACATGGACTCTGCTATGTAGTTGAGGTGTGGGAGCACAATCCCTCGCTTTAACATTAAAAATATTGAGATGAACTGAGGCGGGTTATGCTGGGAATATAAATGAAGGACCAATCCTAAAAGAAAATCTGTCCTTGTTGATGGTGAGTATTCAAAGAAATAGCAGTTTTATTTAGGATTTTTTTTTTATGTCAATATGATCTTAGAATGCATACTTGTTAAATACATATAATAAATTGCTCTAACTGTATATGTCAACTTTCTTGTGGGAAGGGATACTAGACACGTGTAAATGACTGAAAATGGCATCTTTCAGTTTGCTATTTGAAGACAATTATTTGTGAATCCTGAGAGATTAATACGTAATGCATCATACTTTGCTATGAATTATGGTAACAGTGGGAATAAACAGCAGTATGCTCTCCTGTTATACTGGGCACATCCAAGGCAAGTACTGTAGTACAAATATGTGTACATAACTATACTGTAAAGTAATTAATATAAGTATAAAATAAGGAAAACTTATAATCAGCGCACCTTTGTGATAAGTCAGATTATTGTGTTAACAGTATATCTTTAGGAGTGAAAGAAGGGAGGTGATGGGAAATTAAAATGTACTAGTGGGTGGCAGGGAAATGGACATTTCACACTTGGTCACAGATTAAGTACTTGCATATATTAACCTCGTTCATCACCTCAGCCAAGTAGATATATATTTCCAGTTTTACTGAACTTCCTGGGATTGCAGCAATTTATGCCATATGTATGAACCAGTTAATTTGTCATTTTGAGAGGTCTTGGCAGAAGCAGCCCTATTCATGAATTGGGAGAAAGTACTTCCGAGATTTAAGTTTTGGGCAGCCGTGCACACATCACAACTTGGAATTCTTTCATCACTTCTGTAAAGTCGGACTTTTAGAGTATTTGTACCGTTTCAGCAGAAGGTTAGTGTAATGGACAGATGCTCATTGGACTGTAGAATTTACAAGATCACTTGTCATTGTAAATTTCCATGAACAGTTGTGCTGTGTTATCCTTGTCACTTTTTTTTTTTTTTTTTGCACAAAATCCCATTATTAAAACTCAGTAGGAGCAGCCTACTGATAGTTTTAATGTTCAATATTTAATTCAGTACTTGCCTGCTTTAGATGGCAAGGTTAACTTTATTCGCCGAATGGTCTAACTCGGTAGTTCCCAACATTTTTTGGCTGCGACCCTAAATTTCTTAACAATATGGTGTCATGACACTGTCATATAATATATTATATAGCTTGAATGTGAAGCAAAATTTTTTTTTTACTGGAATTACTATATTTTTTCAATTGTCCGAGGCCCCTCGCGACCCTGATTTGGGTCACGACTTGAGTTTGGAACCGCTGGTCTAGCCCATCATCTACTGTGTAAGAGTACCAGTTTTCATGTGCCGATTCTTTGTTGTTGCCATCCTACGGCATGACTCCCAGGAAAATTTGATTCCAGCAGTGCATGTAATTTTCTGCATAACATCAATTAATGGATTAAATTAATAAGGTTTTAGTTTTAAATTGGATTTATTAAGAAATACTCAAGTATATACATGTCCATTTCATAATCTTTTCATTCAACAAAGGTAAACTTAGGGTAACAAAGATCAACTTTGTCACTTGGCATCATTGTGAACACCTGTAAGTCACCTTGGGTCTGTACTGAGACATTGCTTTACCCAAACTTTTACAACCCAAAATCATGAACATTCAAACTTCCATGAAAATTTGTTTTTTGGATCAACTGTATGAAACAATATTACTGTTTGATATGGTGAAATAAAACAATCTGTCTAAAGTAATAATTTACAGTACATTTGTACAAGTTACACAAGTCAAGAGAATGTCCATCAGTGTCAAACACCACCTGAAACACAAGAAACGAAGTTTAGCTCAAAGAATTGATGACATGAGTACTGTACAGTAGCTATCATTAGAACATGGAATTCTCACACTGACTAGTGTATATAAACTGAACCAATAAACACATAAGAAGTTTGGTAAACACTGATACTGTAGTGGGAAAATTGGAAGACTGTACCATACTAGGATATATAATAAATGGAGTTTTGTTATGGAAGGAGTACCCTAACAGTTTACAACAATGGACAAACAACTTTGAAATTAAAAATCTCACCTAGAATTACAGAATAAGGCTCTTGTTGAATATCACACATTACTCTTCGGCTTCCTCTCCATCTGGCCTACAGGACTGGAACAACCCCAGATTTCTGATGCGATCAAATTCAGCCTGTGCATCATAATCCCTGCAACAAAACACTCGTCAGGCTAAGTCAACTTATCAGAAATAACAAAAATGGCATATCAACACCCAAACATCCTCTAATGTCACAACATGGCTTCAGATTAAGAATTATTTGTACATGTTAACACTTGTTCCTAAATATCAAGTCTACTAATTTAACTCCTTCCTGAATCAGGCTCTCAAACTAAGTCATCTCCTCATCCATTACATCACCTTTCCCTCCATATTCTCATATTTGTTACTGTTTTACACAACTGAGGATTTTCTAATTAATCTTTGCACAAGTTCAAAAGATTCATTCAGCAAATTAATTTTCAGATTATACACAAATTATGCCTTATAGAACAGTACTGTATACACTCTATTCGTGGTTAGGGATGTAGACATTTGTCAAATAGGAATACCATAATTAAGGTAGATTAACTGAGATACTCACTTGTAAAAATCAGCATAGAGTTGTTTCCTGGGGTTCTGTACCAATATTTTCCACCCTGCAACAGCCACACCACTGAGGACTGTGGCAATCACAAGTTGCCTCTTAATCTGGCTGGTGAGGAGGCCACGCATAACAGGCTTGGTGAGACTCATGGTGGTGTCGAGCTGAAATAGAAAACATGTTCAAATAACTAGGAAAATAATATACAAATCTGTTGCTTAGTGTTGAGAAAACTAAAGATCACACTGAATATATGAACAACATGTACAGTAATATGAAGAGCATCTAATAATGGTACATATGACACAAGGTGAGCAATCATAAATTCATATAAACAAACATTTTATCATTAGGTAAATCATAGTATAGTCAATACCGGAAGCATTTGTTCACTGTTAAATGTTTGTCCAATATGAAATCAAAGCGACTATAATGCCATCACCTGGTTGTGGTAGAAAAAAAAATCATTACAGTAATTACAAGAAGTTATAGGGGTAAAGAAGGGTTGTAATTCCTCGACAAAGTGCACTCTTGCTTATTTCACCTACAGATTAACCCCCCAATAATTAGCGTAATCAATCTTTAGGTGAAATAAGTTAGGGTGGAGATTCTTCAGGTGATTCCTAGACTTTTCCAATATAAATTTTGATTTAAATCTCATGAATAACCTTTACAAATTAATAAACGTCAATTAAATTCCTAAAAACAAATGAAAAATAGTTGGTTTAAATGTATTGTACAGTTTAGGTCCACATTTCCTTTATACTTGAAGATATTGATTTCATAAATGCTTTTTAAGTAATAGATTTTATGACAAGATAAATTTTATATATGTATGTTTGAATTATACATTTGGTTGTCGATAGTAAATTGGTAGAGTTGAAGCTTCAGCCAGATAGAGAGTGAGGCAGACAAGAACAATAGAGCCGAGTATTTCATCATCACTCCCCAGACTCTACAATCAGCTGATCCCAATGACCGGTTTACACTTTCACCCACCAAAACGTTTATATACACTCAAATTAAACCATAACATAATCATTGCTCATTTTTCTTCACCGTGAGCTCGATAAAGATCATAATTTCCAGGTACACTCAACAGAAAAATGGTGATGTGAGTGGAGGATCAAATACTCACCGAGCTACGTGATGAACTGCGAAGATGGCGGAGGAGTGAGTGAGGGAGCCGCCTGGTGGCCGCCTCCTGCGCCATGACACGCCCGCCTAGTTTAAAAACTCCCTCAACCTACCACAACTTTATTCTTTGTAATATTCCACCGTTACCCTCTAGTTATTTTAGTTTACATTACATTTATGGAGTAAATTAATTCTTAATCATACTTTCCATATCACATGAATCGGTATAATTGTTTATGTCAAATGATACTCTCTCATAATGAAGGTACACCTGAAGTTAAGAAAAAAAGCATCTCTATTTTCGTATTAAATTATGAATTTATGGATAAATTTTGGGGAAGAATGATGCATAAAATAGGTGAGCGTATCAAAATAATATAAAATAGGTCAAAAGTGCGTACGATGGGTATCAAGTGCACCAATACACCTGTTCCCTCAAACAAAAACACCTTGGTAATAGCTAATATCTTTACTGCAGCTGAGTTATAATTATGTCAGTTGTTTAAGATATAACAGTTATTTATTTTGAAAGCCTTTTTTAATACATTTCTACGTTTATTATATACACATTGTTGTCCATGAAACCTAGTACAAAGTTTGCGTTTCAACCAATGAGATATCACATTACTTAGAGTGACAACCAATCAGCAGCTAGCTTTCTAGAGAGCCTCAAGGGGCTCCGTCTGTTTCTCTTAAAGTTTACATATTTGGGAATGCATTAGATGGAATTTAAAGCTTATTTGTCAACGATAATTAACATGGTTACTTTAAAGTACATTTGTAATATGGTTAATGAGTTTATTTTTACTATAATTTAAGGTAAGCAATGGATTATTGGTAGAGAAAGGGACGGAGCCTGGGGCACCTTCCCATCAGGCCTCAGATTGATCAGCGCATGCGTAAACAAGACATTGCAAATGGCGGCGAATGTTATTGTTTAATGGAGTCTGTAATATTTCACAATCATGCTTGGATTTACCTCTATAACAGGTAAGATGCGTCGAAATGATGGTGTAAGAAAGCAAGTTTAGTATCTCAAGAACAAATTACAGTGCAATTAAACGGTTAAAAGTGGCGAGTGAGTGGAAAAATCCTTGTTCACAAAATGGTGTATGGAGCGAGTGACGTTCGCTTGGCCATAGCTAAGACTGTAACTCGTAGCGTTTTGGCTCTAATAATCTACTAACGCTTGGCCAAGTCAGTGGAAACTAGACTTAACTGTGACGCTTGGATATAAGTGTTCCTCATCGTTAGGAAGTGAAGTGAGAGATGTGATGATGGGGAGAGAGAAAAGTGGTTGAAAATACGGTGGTGTGGAGGCTTGGCGACCGTCCGTGGGCTGCGGCCCTCTCCAATTGTCCACCATCAGGATTTACGCGATAATTCCCCTTTCCTGGACACGCCTACTTCGCCAATGGTGTGTAAAGATGTTAGGTGTGTCTTAGGTTAAGTGTGTAATGGTAACTAGCACCAGGTTGTTATTAGTTGTGGTTGTTAGTATAGAGAGCGGCATGATAGCGTCGGGTGGCCGCCGCTCACGTCTTGCCAGCCTTTCTACCTTCCTTATCTTACTATGACCGAGGTCACCGCTCTCTGGCTGCATGTTAATATAAGGTTATACTTCTGAAATATAGGAAATAATGATAGAATGTTAGATAATGAGAAGGTCACTGTTGTAGGCTGTAAAGATATAGTCTGTCACTTTCATTCTCCAGGAAACTAATTGTGACTGTCACCTGAAATGGGTCATTATAGGCTGTCCTTGGTGGTTATATCAAACAATAATAAAGTCTTTGGGATACACTTTTGACAGTATTTCAAGGGAATGTTGTTTATATTCATAGAAGGTGAAGTGTGTGGGTGAACTCTCTTAAGAAGTTGCTCTTCAGAGGTATTCTGTATGAAGTTCTTGCCATTGTTCCAGTACTGTATATGAAGACGTCATAGTATAATTTATTAGATTAATCTTAAACATTTTATTAAGTAGCATAGATGATTTGACTAAGGGAGGCATGGCTTTATTTTGACTGGTGGATATGAAGGGAAGTGTTCAGGATAAATTACCGGTATTAATGTAGTATATATACATAGAGGCATGGTAGAGGGCAATTGTTAAACCTTATTAATATATTTTAGGAGAATTTTAAGTGAATCTTTTATGAATTTTGTTTGTACTGATATCACTTGCTGCTTATCTGCAGGTACAGTATAGGCTTTTGGGTTCACAGTACTTTTGGTTTAGTTTTATTGATGTTTCTTATAATTAATAATGGGTTACTTACCTCTCTTTCTCTGTCGCTACCTGCCAACAATACTTTACACCAAACTGACAATCATCTTTAAATATGAACAAATCTAAACCAACAGATAATGCCTAAGTTAATCTCAATATTCATGTTTGGAGGAAATTTTTCTTAATTTGTGTATATATATATATATATAATTGGAAATTTCATATTAAAGATTTATCTCTTCATTATGGAAACTGAAAAAGTAAATATTCAGCACACATACTTATATAAGCAGTGTTGAGTGTTGTTTCTTTATATTTTCATAATGGAAATTATGACCGTAAACCTTAATGTGAACCTTCAAATTCCATATACAAATAAGTAATGTACAGTATCTCCAAAACTTGAATATTGAGAGTAATTGAGGCTCATAATTTTATCCAGTTTTATGTGCCTGGAGTAGGCCTATTGAAATATTACATGTGACAAAGTCTTGTAGGAGAGGAATAGATGAATATCTTCGTAACTGTCTCTTTTCATCATCAACTTTGTGTAAGAAAGTTCACTGGCTGCTTCACATGTGTTCCCTTTATTAACTGCTTAGTAACACATAGCCTTTAAGTCTGGTTTTAGAGACTATTTATAACTATTGTGAAGCTATTTCAACCTTATGGAAATGACTGTGAGGTTGTATCACTTTAATTGTTACCTTCCTTAGGAATGTAGTAAGATTTAAGATATTGCTTATTAATATCCAAAGAATAAGGCCATGCTATATTCATCTGTATAAATAAACACTGCATTGATAGATATAAACTTATCATCTTGGTAAGTTATGTTAATGTAGATTTGTGCAGTTTTGTACTCTGAATGGCTTAGTATAATTTTAATATTAGTTGGTTTCAGTTTTATACCTGGCTTTAGGTACAGTGCAGTATTTTGGTGTGTACTGTTACTTATTTAGCCAGTGACCTATTAAGCACAGTACTGTAGAGTATCTCAGTTTAATCTTTACTCACTGGCCTCTAAGTACAATATACCGAGTACTGTATCTATATACAATACAGTACTGTACAGTATTTAGTTAAATATTTTCAGTGGTCTTTAGGCATAGTAATTAATTTTTTCACACTGGCTTCTAGATACAGTATAGTATAGAAATTAGGTGGGGGGGGGGTTGTACTGTATAGTATTAAGAAAACAAATGTTTGAAGTTTCAGTATACAGTATAGTATATGTTTATGATTTATATTTGATTTCTGCAGAGCCAAATGTTGACTACAAATGACGGCAAGGTTAAGCTTGTTTCATTTATACAACTCAATATAGTATTAGGGTTATTTTGGAACACTTGTAATTATGTTTTGTCTGATTTATACAGTACAATGATATGCCCAGATATTGTTCAGAACATTCTCACTCTCTCTCTCTCTCATTCTCTCTCATTTATTTTGTACCATGAATAATGTTTTGCTATGGAAGTACAGTACAGTGATAGAAGTACCAAGTAGGCATTAAACTAAGAATGAGTGGTGTTGCTTTGTATGTACAGTATGTAGTTACTTGAAGGTGAGTACACTGTAGTATTTACTTTTATCATGATATATTTTAAGATTTCCTTTTTATTTTACTGTGTGATGGACTAGGGAAGGTAGCTACCAGAAGTGTGTCCTTTGCATGACCCATATTCAAGTTAAGCTAACAAAGTAGTATTCCATAGGGAAGATTAAGACAAGGATGCAGGTAATGATGGTGTTTGGTAACTTGTTCCACTGATCACCCATTCTGTTTCTTAACCAGTGTTTACCCAATTCTTTATTTACTAAATTTAAATTCTTTTAATTTAAAAAAAGTTTTTCACTCATTTGATGGTTTAAGTATCCTAATTATATCACCTGTATTTAACCCCATCTTTCATTGATACACTTGAATCATTTCGCCCTCTCACTCTACAGTACATCTCTCAAGCAAGTTCAGTTTTTTTAATCTGTGACTATACTGTACAGGTTCCCGATGCCTTGGATTAATTTTGTCATCCTTCTCTGAATTCTATTTATGGAATTTACATCAATTCTAAACTACAGTGACCAAAAGTGAACTGCATAATCCAAGTGAGGTCTCACTAACACTAGATATACAGTACAGTTGTAAAATAACATTACCTTTATTGTTTTAAAAGCTCGTAAATACAAACCCTAGTGCAGTACAGTACAAGAAAAGTGATCTTCGGTGTCCAAACATTTGTTCATGGGAACATTATACTTTCAGTCTTTTGAATGTTCATTCTGATTATACAAACACAGCTTTTTCAAACATACTGCTATTGATCGATAAAAGGCAGAAATTCAGATTCAGTACTGTACTGTACTTGAATGTGGGAGAACAAACAGACAACCTTATTACCCTTAAGTCTTCCTCACAATTTAATTTCTCCATATTTCTACTGTTCAGCAGATAGTTGGTTCTCCTGTTTCCATTTCATAGCTTTAGAACATTACATTAACATTTTTCTATATAGTATAATTTACCTGGTCTTACTCTTCAGACTATATTTAGCCTCTCTTGTATACAGTAGTATGATGTAGAACCAGTTTGAAAATGTTTTTCAATTAACAAAGAATTCTGCCTCAATAAAAAAAAGGGGGGGATTCTGGGCTGATCATAAATCTCCCATAAATATACTACTGCTTTGGAATAGATTTACACAAGTTAATTTTACTTTCTTGGGCTAGACAGGGAATATGGGCTAACATTATGCACGTGTGTCTGTAGACTATGAGCTTAATTAAAAGTTGTCTGCTTTGGTAATGATTAGCTTGTTGTATCAGTGCATCCTTTTACTCTCAATGTAATTTCATGAAACTTGATGCAAATAGTATGTGTGGGTGGTTGGTGTGCATGTGTCAAGGGATATGGTCTGATGATGAGAGAGTATTGGCCTTTATCTGTTTAATAAGTCACAATTGGGGAATTGTGAGTGATGTGAGATTCAGATGATTTTTACTCTTATACAATACAGTACTTACTTCTGTGAGGGCAGGTATATCTGGTCCATCTCATGTGGTTGGAAATAAAATGTTATGGAAGTTAGACGTCAAAATATCAGCAGTTTTACTGTTCAGATCAGTCATGAATTTGTCAACATTTACCACGAACTAAAGTTACTGTTATTTTGAAATAATGATAGCAGCATAAATTAATTTTTCCTGATAACCTGTCATCTTTTCAACTACTGGTACAGTGATGCATATACAGTAGGCCTAATGTAAGAACTTTAATATCACGTCCTATAGAACTACTAATACTGTACATGGGAAAATTGTAAATTCATATTGATGGTATCATGCAGTATCATACCTGTCAAATGTCATTGGAGAGTTCTTAAGGCTGTTTGCAGATGACAATCAGGTTTAAACAATGAAATTTTTTCTGTGTGAACTCTTGTACCGAGTGTTTAATAATTAAGTACTGTAGCTGCTTCATAACACAGCTTCCACATTGATCTTGTAAGGTCATCATTTGGCTGCTGGAAAAAAATATTGGTTTCTGGATAAAAAAAATTGTGGCAAACTGATCCATGAAGAGATGCAGTACAGTACAGTTTGTGATTCTGGGCCAACAGCCAATTTTGTGACAAAAATTGTCCATATTGAAAGAACATTCTTTCACATCTTAGCAAGCTGAAGTGGCCACAGTGTAAATCAAGTGATATTTAATTTCATTAAGATATTGTACATGTTAAATGTTTTTGAGCCCATGGTGAAAGTTAAACATTTTCATAGAAAACATCAGCAGAGAATTTGCCAGAGGTACACCAGCAGGTGAATTGTGGCCATGATTCACATGTATCAAGAGATAGGAGGGTCATAAACTTGTGTATCAGAGCAGACTTTGATATGGCTGTTTAAAAGTTCATGAGCTCTAAAGCAAGTCACCAATAGCATAATGTAAAGAAAAAGATAAATACTGTACTGTACTTTAGAACTGTACAACATTATGTGGATTCTAACAGTAGGAATATAGTATGCACTGTACATAAGACTAACTACAGTACTGTACAGTATTAGTACTGTACTTGAATAGGTGTACAGGTATACTGTATACTGCTTAGATTTAAACAAAATTACAAAGAGAGGAGAACTGTAAGAACACATTTTATGTCATAGGCTACATAATATGAGAAATCAGGGAGACTATGTGGAGTGTGGGAGACAATGTATGGAAAGGGATGAATGGTTGGGTGGTTTGGCTTGGACTGGATGAGAAAATAAATAAAAAAAGTGTGGTAGTCATATAATTTAGAATGAAAGATCACTTAATGAGATATGGGAGAAATAAACTTTGGTACAGTACTGTCTTTTAGTTTTGGGTTGAACATGAAGGGGAAATAGGTAGGTGTGCTTTATGAATGCTAGTAAACAGAGAGAGAACAATGAGGGGAAAGGTAGGAGTGAGAATGTAAACAAAGAGAGAAAGCAGGGTAAGGTAGAAGTGGGGATGTCCAGGGAGTAAGTACAGTTCAGGTAACTGGATTTTCCAAAGAAGAAGAAGAAAAAAAAGTGATACATGATACGAATGAAGACATAGGAAATGTGACAGGTGAGCACTGTTTTAATGCAAGTACAGTATATAGTGAAGAAGGTTAAAAGTTGTTAATTAAATGACAGTAGACAAGAGAATAAAAAACCACACTGGAGGTTGTTGCCAAATAATAAGAATGATAAGATCCTACCATTAGCTATCTGAGGATGTGTTTAGCTATCTGAGGATGTGTTTGACTTGCTGGCTAAAAGAAACTTGGACAAAGGACAGAATAGGAAGGGAAACCTGGAAAAGTAGAGAGTAAACAAGAATACGTCTAGAAATTACAGTAGAGGGCTTAGATGACGTATTAAATGCAAATAATACAGGTATATACAGGTATAATCATTAAGGGCATGCTAAAGGAAGATAGGAAAGGCATTCTATAACATGTAATAATGAATTTTGGGTCATTGGGCAGGTGCTATATCTGTTCCATATTGGAGATTGATACCGTACAGTATTAAATAGAGAGTGAAATGGGGGAGAGAACAATAAATATGAGGAGGGTGATGGGAAATGTTACTAGGGGATGGAATATAATCTCGGAAGTTAAAGAGAAACCAAGAGATAATACTGTACAGTGTATATCCTTTCCAGTATACGGATTTTTAGTTCACAGTTTTCCGATCTCTGGGAAGATGAAGGGTCTTAGAGGAAAGCTAATTGTTAGTAGGTTGAGGTGGATAGGACTTGTGCAATGAATAGAGTGGAGGTTGGCAAGGTGAGCATGGAAATGGAAGGCAGGAGGAGGGGGAGAGGTAGATCAAGGTTAAGGTGGCCAAACATTAGGCTCTAGATAGATGTAGGAGGCACCACGACAAGACGATGAACAAAATGAGTTATCGAAAGGTAATATTGCCGTTTGTGTGACTGAGTTGTGGGAACAAATGGTTGTCAGTGCTCATTAGGGGTGTGGGAAGGGCATATGAGTCCCAGATGAAAGTAAGAAGTGACATAAGTAGTACAGGAAGATTAAAAGGAAAGTATAAGAAAGGTAAAAGAAGAGCAGATGATTGATGGGAAGAAAGATCGTCACAATGCAGAATAGTGTGAGAAAACAACTAAAGCAGATACAGTATAATTATATCATTAAAAAAAGAAGTAGAAGAGAGATGAGAATATCATTTTAAGAACTACTCAATGAAACATATGAGAGAGAGAAGGTTGTGGTTGGTTGAATAGTGCCAAGGCAAACAAAGCAAAAATTAACACAGTGAACAGGAGGTGTGATGGAATATGAGCATTTTTGTTCTTCAGCCTTCTTATGAAAACGTGCTATGTTGTGGGCTCTGGCTAGAACACAGGATTTCAGTTATAATCATGCACACAGTTACCCAATATTTCACCTTTAATATATTTATTCTTTTTGGATGTGTATTTTACTGGAAGATGATTCATTGAAGTTAATATTTGTCTTTCTTAATCCCAACAGACATGGATGGGGATAGTGATGGGGGCGGCAGGTGTGGTGGTGGCGGGAGAGGAGAGCTGATTGAGGCAGTTCTCACCTGTGAGGGTAATATTTGTGACCCAGAGCTCCCTAAGAAACTCACCCACCTGGTTCATGTCCTCAAACATGTCACCCAAAGTGGTAAGTCCAAGGCATTGACTGTAGACAGAAGGATGATCAAGAGCGTCCTTTTGCTGGAGCTGTAGATGTAGATAGGCAGACTGTTCAGTATATCAGTGACCTTAATTAAACACAGTGTATTCTCATCATAATTTAACTACTTCTAGAAATATAACTTCTTTTTTGTGAGTGTACAAAGCAGAGTTTATAATGTTATGGCACTAGTACTGTTTGTCTGCCTTTCAACTTTTATTTTGAATTTAGAATAATAGCATTAGTTATAATGTATCACTGAGCATTATGCTACATAGGTACCCAGAGCTTTCAAAACTGACCCATCACTTTAACCCACCTAAACTTGTCTTTGGTATGGGTTGAAATTTAAAAACTTAGTGCCAGACCATCAACCATTTAAGAAGTACTGTCTCTCCTGGTTATAACTGAGTGCATCTTGATATAAAGGTTTTAAAAGCTCTGGGAATCTTGCTCATAGGGAGAGGAAGTTTATTGGTGGATTTTTGGGTCTTTTACTTTTGATAGTTTGTCTTATGTGGTGTGTGATTTCTTGTGCCAAGACTGTGTTAAACAACCATCACTTCTGTGCATCATAGTTTAAAGTGACCGAGTTAAGATGTTGATAGAATTTTTACCCTTTGGCTGTTTACCATCTGCTAATTTTTTGTCTCTTTAATAACTAAAAAATCATATATTTTCTTACACCATGTGACCTCTGGATGTGTGGTGCCATTTAAAAGAGTAAATAGAAAGGGCATATCTTATTTTGCATTATTTACATATTTATGTTCCCTGAACTGGAAGGAGACATGTTATATTGGTCTGCCCACATGTCCATTTCAGAGTTTTGACAGTAACTAGTCTTCAACATTTTTCTTAGGATTGATATGACATACAGCTTTGAATTGGCACTGAGTAAGCATGATCACATTATATTTTTCTGCTGCAATGTCAATTTTTAGCATACTTTTGTCCCTTTAAATCTTAGCTACCTATATATTGGTGTATACTATATACACCTACTGTATATAGGTTTCATCTTGTGATATCATTTTTTCCAAACATGGTGGCTACACACATGTGGTCCCACTCATATGTCAGACCTGCCAACCACCAACACAACCAGAAAACTCATTCATGAAACATTCTTCAGATGAATATAAAAGTGATACTGTACACCACAAATACTGTACAGTACTCCAAACTCAAGGGTTTCCTCTCCAAACAAAAACATAATCCTCATCCAAGAATCAAAAGCCTATGTAGTCCTCTAGGTTCACCCAAGTCTGCCCCCTAATTTTCTTTAATCCAACAGGAATACTTCAATAGAGGTGGAGGGCACTTGTTCACTAATCCATGACAAAATACAATTCACCAACATAAGACAGTTCATTTGCATACAGATGAGAATATTAACAAAACCTTCAGAAACATTGTATCTACACTAACCATCCCATATCTCAAATTAATAAAACCTTCAGAAACATTCCAAGTAGCAGAAGGAGACCTCAATGCCATGGACCATTCTAGGCTAGCTACCCAACCCCACACCCAAGACAACAGAGGACCACAGGTTCAGAAAAACTCAAAGGCTTCACCGTTTTACATAACCACAACTCACCATCTTACTTTCTCCAGTGGCAGGCAGACAATCCCCTCCTCACCTGATCTTATTCTCTGCTCCCCCACTCTTAGTCCTGATACGGTAACCACCTGGAGAGCAGTGCACGTTTCTTTCAGCCATATTCCAGTCATCATCATAATTTAATCACCATCATCATCATTTGATCATCATGTATAAAGTAAAAATCTAAATTACAAATCTACTAAGAAAAAAACAGTGAACCTTAAAAAAAATCCAAACTGACCTTTAACCTGGTCTTTTTAAATCCACAAACACTCCATTTACTCATTTCAATAAGATATTATTGTCCACCAGCAACAAACACATTAACACAGTGTCAGTGGCAATATTAAGAACAGCAATCTCAACTTTTCTTTTTAAATAAACAACATAGGGAAACAAAATGGGTAATAATTTCATGGACATAACAAATCACAAAACAAACAAGAAAGTCCAAGAAAACAGTCACAAACTCCACATTGGTCCAGATTGATTCAGCCTATATTTTTTAAGAATATTAATGAAACACTATGCTTCTGTCAGCTTTAAGAACACATTCCCCCACATTAGTAAAATTGCAAGAAAACTGAAGTTAAAAATAAGAATATCCAAACTTAACACCATTCTTCTCTCTAACCCTATTTACCTGTTCCTCTAGGCCTTCCCTCCACCCCCATCCTATCATGGAATATCCTCCTTGGTGTGCTGAAGTCCTAGACGGCATCATTCGTACTCAAATAATTAAATAATACACATAAGAAATTGAAAAATGGTACAAATAACACAGCATGACATCCTTCCCCCTTCCATGTCTGCTACAACACATCTTGCACCTGACAAACTTGAGTCTCACACCTGCCTATTGGTTATACAGTATTCGTCACCCAACTAGTAGTCATCTGTAAATTCTAGGCATCAAACTAATCTCAAATGACTTAAACCCACTACACAAACATCAACACAAGTCACATATGAACCCAACATACCCAGACTCCGCATAGGCACCGCTTTTGGACAACATAAAGTTTCACCCAGTTTAATATGAAGTGCAGCTCCGGAGTGGATACAGCACTTGCCTTTTGTTTGTGCCAGGAGCATCCCCAGATGACTCAGCTGTAGACACACCTCCAATTAATGATGGGATTTATCCTACTTAAATATTTCTTGATTGTGAGGGAGAGAGGCCTCAGGTTCCTGCTGAGTTTGCTTTTCAGACACTGTTAGTATCTCTCTCTCCTTAGTTGAGTTTATGGCAGATAAACACAGTTTCTGTGAGTCTTCCCTTGGGGAATGTTCTAGGGAAGTCTTTCCTCTTCTGCTGGGTCCTCTTGTTATTGTGTGAGCATAGTTTTCTTGCTGGGGTAATACTAACTTGTCTGGGACAAGGTGATTACAGCTAATGGTTGTAAGATCCATCGATATTCCTGGATTCTGTGGGAGTTCATCTGAGAGAGAATTTGTTTGTAATGTTGTAACTCACCCACTCTATGACGTTCTTTCATGTTAATGGTGGTACAGTACTGTACATTTCTCCCTCACTTCACATGAGGGTTTGCATTCCTGGAGAGCAGCAGCAAACTGAAGCTGTAAAAACTGTGACCAGCTTTACTGAGTAAATGGGGGAATTGGTTCCTGGACCAAGTATTTGCATTCCTGATCCTTCCTCACAATAACTGTACCTCACAAAATTCACAAAGTCATTTGGTTCAGGCTATTGTACTGTATTCACAGTGCATGTACAAAAGGTATGGATATGTATGGACTTATTTAGTAAACAAGTACTGAATGCCGTGACTTTTCCCAATACATTGCACTGCACCTGTTTCCTTTGTTGGATAGCATTTAACTTTGGTGCAAAAATCTCCAAATACCAAACATATAAAGTATAAAATGCTTTGATTTAATTATTATTAAAAATCAAAGTAAAATTTGTAAGGACAGTACCTATGCCTCAGATTTGGGGACTGTGTGCTTTGATGACTGCTGAAATGCCGAGTAAACTGTGATCCTCATGGCCATGGTACAGTGAGGGGGGGGGGTCTTTATAGGATACTGGGATACTTTTGATAATTCATGGTTTTGTAGTTTCCACAAATTTGTACTGCAAATCAAACTACTGTATATGTAATTGTCAAAATTCTGGCTGTACTGTACTAAAAATAAAGAAATGATTGTGAGACAAGAAATTACTAAAAATTTTAAAAATAAGGCAAAAAATATATTACCAAGACTGTCATTTGACTAAACAGTTCACTCATTCCTCTCTGTTAGTGTTTATATTTCTTAATTGGTAGCATAGTACTGTACAAGTCCAATACACAGGGCTATAATGCTCTACCATATTTTGTGAGCCCATGTGTACAACTCTCCTGGAACTCTGTTATGAAAAGGAAGATAAATTATCTCCCCTGCAATACAGACTAATATATACTACTTGAGAAATCAGAAAAGGAACAGCTGGCTTAGTGTGGTGCTTCTTTGTGTACACTGTAAATACACATCTTAATACAGTACAGTAAACTCTACTACTGTACTACTGTAAACCTGTATATACTGTAGTGATTTTGTATCATAACCTTTTATTTGTCAAGCATATTTTACCTGGGAAGTTTTTAGGTGGTTGAAAGGTACAATTTTTTAAGTGACCTTGAGATTAGGAATGGTGGCTATGGTGTAACTATAGAGAAACTGGGTTTGAGTACTGTAGTCAGATTATGTAGGTAGACTGAGTACCTAGGCTGGATTGAAGCTGAGGCAGGATGTGTATTTGTAGGGTCCAGCAAGAGTTTTGTAGTAATTATTCTGTCTATATATGTCTGTCTGTTCGTCCAGTTTATTGTTGACAACTACAGTATATAAATCTTAACCCAGATGATGTATATTCATGAAAATTTATATTATTGCTTTTTGTGCTGTTTACGTACCTGTTATGGTGGATAGGGCCTTATGTAACAGTGTTTCCCCAATTACTTTTTTCTCTAATTATAAATAATTGTTTTAGACTTACAATACTGTATTTATCTTTTTTATTTTTTGTAACATTGAATATAAAGTTGAGAGACTCACACATTGATTGCTCGCGTTATACAAGAGGTTGACGTGAATTACCGAATTTCAGACTCCACGTGGTTTGTGCGGAAAGTTGAGCCATGGAACAGCGTAAGAGTGACCTTCTCCATCCCACGAGAAGCTGCTGTACGTCTACATCAGCTGGCACAGGCAGGAGATCAAGCACTGCGGCAACTGGGTATTCTTTCTGTCCAAGTAGAAGGGGACCAGGTAAGGAGCTCTGGGGGATTCTCAGTTTTAGCCATCTTAGTGCAGTTATTATAATTTTGTCTTACTCCTGTTTTTTTATTATTTTGTTCAGGCATTTTGGGTCTGGTCTTCATGATTAAATATTAGGTAACAGACTACAGAGGGTGTAAACTCTGGAGGGATACATCACTAACCTTATAAGTATCAGGTTATTTTGTACACTTATGTTTTTCCCTTGTGTTACAAGATTATTGGGAACGTGTCAGCTGAGTGGATTGCATCCTGTCTTAAGAATTGTTGTTTTGTGCCTGGTGTGCTCCTAGTCAACCCAACTGGGAATAGGTATTCAATTTACAGATAAGAAAGTGAAGGCAGTTGAGTGAAGTGCAGGCCACAGTCTTCACTGAAGGCTGCACACAGTAACAATGTCTGTCCATCTCAAGTTTAGATAAATAATGCATCTCTCACTCTCATCTCCTCAGCTGCTAAGAAGCAGAAATACAGATTTAGAATCTTTGGAAGTATATTTTTCTCTGATTATTACTGGACATCCAACTCCCCTTTCTTAATTATAACTTGATAAAATTGGGTTGGGGTGGGGGGGGGGTGTTAGGCCCTGCTCAAATATTGTTGGTCAGAGTCACATCACATCAACAGTAAATCACGGTAACTAACATGTTTTTACTTTGACTTTGCTTATATTTGTTTATGTATCTTTGCGTTTAGCTTAGTTGAGGTTGTTAACTTTTGTGGTCATAGTACAAAGTGGGGTCTACATGTTTTGATCTACTGACACATTTCTATTGTTTATTTCTCTTTTCATTCTCGTATATCATTGAATGATTCTATCTTTAACAATGAGAAACAATCATACTGTCAATATCTACCTCCATTTTACCAGATCTTTAAAACAGTCCAACACTTTGGGCTATTTGAATAATTCATAATTCAATTTGTACAGTATTGTATCTTTGATTTGTAGTAATTGATCTCCTATTTATGATAAGATTGTAAGAGGACACTGTTGTAGTATTTTAAAAAAAATTTTTTAATTTATTTAAAATTCTTCACAGGTGATCTCACTCAAGGTGGCTGGTCCTAACAATGAGTCAACAGAAATTGTACTGCGGACAGATGGAGGAGCCAGCGATGGTGCTGGACCGTCCAGTGTTGCACGATCAGTTACAACAGCACTGGGAGGGGCTGGACTCATGCCTGGTGCTGGACAACCTGTGGAAATTGCAGCAACCTCAGCATTTCGCAGTCCAAATGTGGTGGCTCCCCCAGGGGACAGTATTCCTCTGACCCCACGCCCTGTGGCCCAGATAAGACCACCCTTCCCTTATGCCAGTATGAACCGTGCTGCACAAACCATGGGTAGAGAGCTACAACATCAGCAACCTACAGTGCCAGGGCCAGTTGGTCATACTGTTACTAATGCTGCTCCACGCCCAGTGTATAATCCCCCTCCACCCTACCCTAGCCTTGAGCAGTCTCAGTTGCGTGCTCCTGGGGCTCCTGTGCAGAGACCACCTATACCACAAGTAAATGGGACTCAATATGTAGCAGGTCAGGCTAGTGGTGGTAGCAGCATAGCACAGCCTGGGACACAAGTGTTGCCTTCTGTTGTGCAAGCCAGTTCAAATCAGTCAGTTAGTGGTGTTTTCCCTGTGGCAGTGACTCAGACAGTGAATAATCGAGCAGTACACACACCAGTAGTGAAAGGTGGCCAAAGGACAGGAGTGAATGTGTTAAAGAACAGTCCTCTTTTGGTGGACTTGCTACGACAGCCCGACCACCAACCGGGAGTGGGCGTCAGCAAGGCCAAGGTGGTTATTGGTGGGTCGCCACATGGCTCACCTGCTCCTACGTCTCCTTCATCTCGTTCCACAACGTCGACTCCTTCATCTGACTCCCTGCCACACACCCCCATCACCAACCTACCTCTACCTGCAGTGCCGGCACTTTCACCGCCTCCCACCAGTTCTGCAACTTACAGTGCTACTGTAACTGCTTCAAGTTTGACTGGATCAACCTTGTCTACACAGTTCAGCACAGGGTTTAGTGTAAGGGCTAAAGATGGAGTTCACACTCACCAGCAGGTCTATTCTGGTGGGTCGGTTATTACTAGTACTGTCACTCCTTTACCCAGACTACCTAGCAGTGTTAGTGGTGGCTTGCAGCAACATCCTCAGGCCACAGGACAGCCGCCTCCGGGACCACGAACGCCTTACAATACAGAACAGTGTTGCATGACTATAGGGAGTGGCCAAGGCATCCATCCTCGGATGCCTTTACCGAACCCCAGTCGTTCGAGTGTCCCGGGTGAATCGCGGGCAGTGCCTCCTTCCCCACCCCAGCTTGTGTCTGGGGGTAAAGAGAGTCAGTACTTGATTAACCCCAATACAGGTTTATTAGAACCACGGCCCAGTGAAAGCTCGGATTCAGAGCCGGAGGCCAGACCACCATCGCCGGTCACTGAAGAAGTTCGTTCAAATTCGATTGTTTCTGATGAGGAATCCAACATGAGTGCAGCCTCAAAGAAAGAAACTGATCAGTCGGATTCTGAAACTTCTCGAATGTCGGTGCTCAGTGTTGAATCGAAAAAGATGGCGATCAGCCAGGAGAGACCCAAATCTCACGACAGAGATTCCAGCCCAGGATCATCGAGGGAAAATAGTGTTGTCACTTCTGGTAGTACAGGGGAATCCATCAGATTAAAACTTACTATTGGGAGAGAATCGGTGGCACAAGCCACGTTTGTTACTAAAGCAAAAAAGGGTGACAGAAAGGAAATACTGGCTAATTCAAGTTTAGGGTCAGGGTCAGTAAGTGAGCCAAGAGTACCCAAGCTGCATATTAAGTTGAAGTCTAAGCAGGCAGTTATTGTGAATCCTTTAGGTGATGGAGATGGTCAGAGGAGTCAGGAGAAAGATGGACCTAAAGAGGATAAGAATAAGAGGAGGAGTTATAGAAACAAATCGCGTAGTGAATCTGACAGTGATAGTGGGAGAGTACGAGCACTCAAACTCAAGAGCAGTAAAGACAAGGGAGGTGGGGAAGAGAGCACTTCTGTGCTGAAAATTGTTGATGGTAAAAAGCTTAAGGTTGAATTGGAGGAGGAGGAAACTCCTTTGAAAATGAAGTTCATGGAAGGCTTGGAGGGTAGACTAAAAGCTCCAAGAACTTTGGAAGATGGCCGTTTATCTGTGATGAAATCAGAAAGTTCTAAAGTTTCAAAAGGTGAAAAGTTTAGAACAAGACTGAAAACTAAAACGCCCATCAGAAAAGTTGGAGACTTAAATAGTGTAGGTGAAATTGCTAGTCACAAAATTTTAGAGACATTGCCCCCTAGCATCACCAAAGTGGCAGCTTTACACACTCAGCAGCCACACATAAATCCCTCCTCATCCTCCAGTCAGTCCTCAGTGATCCCCTCTACTGTTGGAACTGCAACATCAACAGTGGCAAGTTCTACCACTTCACAAGCTGCTGGAGAACCTTTTAAAGTAGAATTAGAAAAAAGAGGGAGTGAGATTATAAGAAAAGCAGATTTGAAAAGTGAATTGGAAAAGAACAACAGTGATAGTCTGATGAGTCGACTACGTGCAAACCATCTGACAAATTTGATCAATGGAGATTTGACTCACGGTCGTGTGCGACAAAAGAACCTGGGTGCCAGCCAACAGCAAGCAGATGGACCAAGTAGTAGCGGCAAGTTGACAATCAAGAGGAAAGGCTCAGGAGAAACGCACACTCTCGAGTCCTTCAAAAATGATCTTCCTGAAGGTAAGATAATTCACTGTGTTGATGACTTGAAATTTTTGTGTTTAGGATATTTTGTAATAGGTCTTGTGGGTTTCAGAAAACAGTGTTTCACTATGCTCTTGGAGAATTATTTGATAAAATACTATTTGTTAAGAATCTTGAATAACCTTGAATGTGAATTGTATAAAGTAGCTAGACTAAAATTAGTTATTGATTGAATTACAAAAATAGATAAGTGTGTTATGGATGTGTACTTTATTGTGTAGTTGTAGCAGTGAGTCAGCTATATTCCTTTTACTACCAAGAATATTGTACATTAATTTTGAGCAATACTGTATCCAGTTTTTGTCGGTACTGTACCAATTTTTTTTGTTATATGTACTTATTGCTTTGTAGTTATACTTCAGTTGGTTCCCGAGTGCATTGAAAGTGAAATTTGGTAATAAATATAACTGTTTAACATTGTCTGGAATGCAGCTTATCAAGTTCATTCTTCTGCTTGTATTAATGGTGGTGATATTTATAAGGGAAAGTAACTGTCCATTGTGTACAAGTCTGCTTGGTGCAAAGGCAATCTTAGTACAGTATTATGTTGAACTAAATATGGAAAAAGTTAGTAAAAAAGGATTTCAGAAAGATGCTCTTGATGAAATCCTTTTGTCTTTTTGCATACAGTATTTAATATTTTTACTTGGCAGTGATTTAATGGTGAATAAGAAATGATGTTGGTAGATACTCATAGGTGATGAGCAGCTTAGCTCTCAATTAATACAGTATAAATCAAATGGCTGTTAATTGCTTTGAATTTGTTAAAATTGAAGGGCAGGTACAGTACAGTACAGTACAGCACAGCACATTATTGTAGGAGTGGTAAAGTTTCTGTAGTAGCTGCTTACTTAGTTGGACAACTGGATTTTTGTATAAGATTTTCACTCGTGTGTGTGTGATTAGGTTACTTATGTTCAAGAGTGGGTAGCCAGTAATACATACTGTATCTCTAGGGCCTGGGAAGGTATCCTCCTTAAGCCCAGACCATATCTTTAGTGTGCATTCCCTAAGAATTATTTTGCTTTGGAAAAGCTGAAAATTTTGAATATTGAATTCATGATTAGATTCATGTATAAAAAACTAAGACATTTACAGACTCTTGTAAGATCTCTATATTTTTGTTTGCCTGTTGAAGATTTTATTTATGGAAAGCTTTCAAAATTAATGTAGTATATGATCAAGAGGCAATATACAGCTTGGGAGAACCATCAGTTGTCATGTACCAAGATCATGGTGGTGGTTATTAGTGCCAGAGCTATAGTAATTATCCCTTCAGTCTAAGGGAAAATAACTTATAATTATAGGATATGGTTGTTACCATTTAAGGTGAGGGAGATCTCCAGTCCAAGAGAAGCTTTCACTTGTCTTCTGCTATTAATCTGGCTGTAGGATATGGGATTCCCAACCAATCCTTCATACCTCACATCTCCAGGTTTTCTGACCTCTTAGCTTTCTTTTTGCTTATTACCAGACTCGGATAAGTTAGATTTTAGCAAGACTTCACAGGGATATGTGTTATCACTAGCTAAAGCTATAATCAAATGCAAGTGTTGTTGTTAAATGTCAAGACCACAGGAAGGTCAACAGAGGTTGAGACTGGAGGATATTTGGTACAGCTAATACTGTATTAGATTGAATAAAGAACCAGGAATGATGTAGATTGTACAGGTTATCAGTAAACTCTTCATTAACTGTACTGGTTCCCTGATAAACTGTATATTAACCATGTACTGTACCATGTGTGCAGGCTGTGAAGTGAGAGGATCTGAGATGAAAGTGGGTTAGGGGGTTCATGATTGGTGGTTACAGTTATTCATGTCACATCAGATCACCAGCAACTGATTTACCTATCTATTGTGTGTGTATACTGTATATATTTCTACACTGGCTTATATATGGTGTTTTGTTACCTGAGTATATATATGATGTAAACTTTTCTATGTTGACATGTAGACATGATTATTTTTATGTATGCTCCTGTTCATCAGTCTTTTGTTACTAAATTCATTTATTAATTGTAATTTGAATACAGTACAGTGTATAGTGTTTGTGAAAATCTGTGTATCTCACTTAATGAGATAATTGGTGGAGGGAAGGTCCCATAAAGAAAAGAGGAAATTTTTCCTTTAAAAAGCACTGTACAGTGTAACCTGTACTTTCATTTACAATAGATTTTGCTCTTAACAGTGATAAGATACATTATTAAATCATTAATAGTGTAGTACAGTCACAGCCATAACACTGTCACACTTATGCTTTTACTTAAAATATATAATACGTGTATACAACAAAAACTTCACAATGAGGTGCTAAAATGCCAACTGTGTGTGCTAGATGGTTCAGCCAACTCAACCCTTGTTGCTCTCACAGTTGCCCTGACTAGTGAGTGTGCTAGTGGGGCCTACAAATACATAGGAAGGAATGGAAATATTTATGACTTTATGGTTACTGCCTTTGTTCCCATTATTTTATTGGGACAATGACATATTAGTATTTATATAACATTAAGTAAAGTAATTACTGTAGATACATGTACAGTATGTGTAGTTTATGGAGAGTTCACTGTACCTGAGTTACCTGAATTTTTTTAAAAAGTTTTCCCAGCGTTTTGATGCGAGGACGTTCGTCATTACTGAGCAGTGATATTCAAACATCGTTCTAAGGAAATTTGCACCATTACTTATACAGCTACTCCTCGTCCTACAACCACCTTGACATACGACCGCCCCAGTCGTACCAATTTTTTTTCAAATGTATTTTCAAGTCCCGACGTCAGTGATTGCGCTGTGTATTGTCAAAATTTTCGTTTGTAATTCTCTTTAAAATGGCTGGCATGTTTAAAAGTGAGAGTTTTGTGGTGCAGAGAAGAAAAAGAGTCACCCATTTTAGATTTTCTATGTACAGTATTATCTTTGCATTTTCGACTTAAGACCAATTCGGCTTACGACCTGGATTTGGGTCCCTAACCCCGTCGTAAGTCGAGGAGTGGCTGTACAGTACATGGGTGAACTTTCCTGGGAAAGTTGTTAATATTTTGTCAGTTTTGTTTTCTATTTTCATATTAGTACTGTATAGATATTATGTTAAAAGTTATGTTGGAGGTTTTAAGTGAAACTGCTGCATGTTATTTGGCTATATTGATGCTTGATTAATGATCCCCTTAATTTGCAGGCCTGGGCAACATCCCCACGTACCTGAACTCTTCGGTGATGATCAATAAGGTCTCACACTCTCCGGAGAAGTTGCCTACCCTCCGTCATGAAGATTCTAGTGAGAAAGGTGTAAAGAAATTGGACCATCACAAACATACTGTGTGTACAGATTTGGCAAGCTTAAAAGCAAATTCTGATATCACCATTCACAGTGTGACAAAGAATGAAACAATAAGTTTAGGTAAAAACAGTGATGGTGAGAGTAGGAGCTCGAATAAATGTAAAAGTGAAGTGACTAAAGTGGGGAGAGTGACTCACTTGGATGTGAATGATAGAAAAGCATTGCAGGAAGCACTCAAGAGCTCACAGAGTTCTACCAAAAAGAATGATACTCACCAAAGCAGTATGCATGATCTTTTAAGACGCTTTAACTCTATAGACAGTTCAACTACAGTGCCTGTGTCTTCTCAATCTGAGAGTACAAACAGCACCTCTGGGGTGAAAGTGGAATCCAAAGTCACAGAAACTCCAGAAAAGGTGAAACATGAAGTGAAAAGTGATGAAAAAAGTGAGAATAAAGACCCACACCTTACAAGTGTTAATTCTTCAAACAGCTGTGATACTAGTGTTAAAATGGAACCTGAACAGACCAAGGTTTTAGAGCAAGCTAAGGGCCCAGACTTTCCTGGCAATGTGGTATTGACAAAAAGTGAGGTTGAGAGTCCAGATGGTACTCCGAAAGGAGAACACGGTAGTGGGCAGGGTGGAGAAGACTCTGGGATCGAGTCTATGGATGCTCTGTCAGAGAAAAGTCCAAACCAGAGTGATCAGAGTCCTAGTAGGAGGGATGACAAAGAATGTGAGACATTTCCTGATAAAAGTTCAAGTGAGAAAACTGTTGTTAAAAGTGAACCTACTCGTGATTGTAGATCAAATGAAGCACCAAGTGTGTCAGTTAATGTCACTCAAGAACCTAAAGTGAGTGCCAAAGTTGAGGTAAAGACGGAACCTCTCGAAGAAGATCAAAATGATGGAGAAGTTCAACACAGAACTTCTGATAGTGAAGTAGACAGCACAAAATGTGGCTCAAAGGCCTGTGAATCTCTGGTTGGTTTAGACACGAAGATGTCTGGCAGTAAAGAGAATGTGGCAGATGATGTACATTCTGCTTCCCAGGAATCTTCTTTCTCAAAAAGTGAAGAACAACACTCAGAATCTGTTAATGATGTTGCTAGTCCATCAGAAATATTACCAATACCTGTGACTGAAATAAAATGTGAACCTGTGTGTTCAACTGCTTCACACAGCTTAACTGTTGGGTCAGCGGAGTGTGAGACCAGTTTGTCGTCATTCTCAAATCCACCCACTTCTCATTCTCCATCAACACCACCAGTATCTTCTTCACTTTTAGTTTCTGCTTTCTCACCTAATTTTTCAACCAGTTCTCCTCCTCCAGTGTTGGGAATTACTACTCAGAGTTCCTTAAACGTATCCACATCTTCATCAGTGTCTTCAAGTTTTCTGTCCACATCACCACAGAGCTCTATAGCTTCTGGTCCAAATTCATCGTCACCAAGTTCACCGTCGTTGTTTCTCACTTATTCACCCGTGACTTCATCTTCCACAATTGTTAATCCCACAACTCACAGCTCAACAAATGCAAGCCTTTTGACCCTTACAACTTCCAGCCTCTCTGCATCCAGTGTTACAGTACCCGCTCTCACTGTTTCTGGCTCCTCTGCTCCCTCTTCTCCTGCACCCACTAGTCATAATTCATCATATACTTTGGATACTCATAGTCTGGCTGTACCAACTAGTACCATTTTCACATCTGTCACAACTGCCTCTGGTCCTACCCAAACCATCACCACCACCCATACTCCTGTTACAAATATTTCAGTGATTCCTACAGTGCCTCACTCTCCAAAGACAACTACTACAACCACAGCAACTACCAGTTCAGTGTCAAAGCCATCTTTACTGGCAATAACACTGACCAGACCACTAATGAGTTGTGCACCATCACAGCCATCCTCTTCCCAGGTAGCATCATTGTCAGCTGTTGACAAGGTCTCCACTGTATCAACTTTGTTGGATTTGAGCAGTAGTGTATCTACATCATCCTCAAGCAGCAGTCAGCCTACAGTAACCAATACAACAACTGTGGCAACATCAACAGCAAGTGCCAAGGTGGTAACATTGAAGCCTAGCACAAGTCAGGGTCAAGGTAGTACCCCTCTCAACCTCCCTCCGGGGACAACTTTTCGGTTAGTGGCCCTACCAGGTAACAGTGCCATGGCTCCCACCACCAGTGCAGTTAAGGTAGTGGTGTCACCAGTAAAAGGCCAGCTAAGCCAGCAGGTGACATCAGGAATTAGCAGCATGACAGTGGTGACGGTTAAGCCAGTAGTTATAGGTGGGGCCAAGAACAGCCACTTATTACAAACCCTCTCAGTTAGTAAGACTGAGGAATCTAGTCCTCCTTCCCTCCTCAAGGCTCACTTAACTGCTCCAACCCTAACCACATCAGCTCATGCTGTGGCTACCTCAGTCACCAATTCTGCTGCGACACCCATTGTGTCCAGCATAATGGCCAATGGAGACGATACAGAAGATTTAGACTTTGTTGGGTTTTCTAGCTCGCCCCAAGTCAAATTACTCCAGCCTGGTGAGTTAAAACGGGAAATCTCAAGACCGGAGATCATTGAAAGTAGAAGATCAGATTCCTGCAAAAGTCCAGAAGTGCTGTCCCCAACAGGTGAAGAGCCAACACCCATGAGAGTGCATCCCCCTCTCTATACCTATGGGAACAGAGAGAGGAAAAAGGATGTTGAGTCAGATGCTGAGGATAAAGACAAGGAAGAGGCTAAGAACCTTTCTGAGTGTGAAGGACACTCTGATATTAAAAACAGTGATATTTTGGAGATGGAGAAGGAGAAAGAAGATTGTACTGTTGGTGTTAAGTCCAAAACCAAAGATAAGAAGTTTGATGCTCTTTCCATAGAGATACCACAAACTGACCCAACACTCCCAGATGACAAAAGACTCACAAGGAGCACTAGACAAAGTGCAAGATTAGCCAGTCCGAAGGTGAACAGTCCAGGGGCAGAATTGAGTCCAAAAGTTGATCGAAGAAGTCCTGCAAGTATGCTGTCAATGGGGAAACCAAGTCCTGTCCCAGTATTGCGGCCAAGTGTCAGTCCTGCCACTAGAGGAACCAAGAGACGAAGACATGAATCGGAAAGCAGCAACGCCTCAAGTGTTAATGAGGATACACAGGAACCACCACCCAAGTCCACGCGGAGAAAGCCACCTGATAAAGCTGCAGGTGAGGATTTTATTTTATTTTGGGGCAGACTTCCACAGTGAGATTATAATAGTACGATAATAGGTTAAGTCAAAGGTAGGTCAGCATTTTATTGTGCATCTTGGTACACCATTGCTTTTAGTTAATTATTTTTGGTATCCAGGATGGAAAATGTATGTATGTGTAATTGGGAAGTTGAGTGCAGTGTATGTAGGTCACGCTGAAGACTTACTGTATGGTATGCTGTCAGGCCTAAGGAACTTTAACTTGTTTCACCTTGCCTTAGGCATCATTTAAACCCTTTGTGGATCTCCAATCATAACAGGCACTCCATATTTTACCCATCACTATTACTCTGTAGTTCCTTCCTTCACCATTTTACCACATCTTACCTTTATATCCTCCATCCAGGGAGCAGCAGTGTGCTTAAATGAGCAGAGACAATGAAGGCACAGAGTTAGGAGGACTCATCTGTTTTAGTAGTAAGAACGAATGAAAGTAGAATATGTGTGTTTGTTTGTTTATTTTGTCAGGTCACCCTGCATCAAATTTTAAAAGGGCTTGAGAGAGTGAACAAAAACACCAGGGAAAAAAAATTTAAGAAAATTTTTGTTTTACACTGTACGACTCTATTTAGTATCCTTCTGTACTATGTTTTGAATGCCGTGGTGAAGTAGTAGTTTAATGATCATATACAGTGCTTTTAGTTATTCCCTTGTAAGTCGTAGTTGGCAGTCTCTTTTACTTTTGTGAATATATCTATTTAAATATAAAATCCTTATCTGTTTTTATCTTATCTATGTGTTCTCACTTACTGTCACCGCTTCTAGTTCATTTGTTATCGGAATGTTAAGTATTATGGGTCTGACTTCATTTCCTAAAGTTTCCCCGAGTTTGTAAATGATAGTAAGCACATCAGCCACTCTGGAAAGTGAGTACAGTACTATACACGGTCTACTACATACCGTAATACTCGTCTATAACCCCCCCCCCTCGTTTATAGGTCGACCCACGTTTTTTAGGGTAATGGAACAACAAAACCTTGAGTAAAAACGCTCTACGTCCTATAAACTGAGGCTCGCCGTGCCTGAAACACCGAGTGCCGAAGGCAAATTGTTTACCATTTATTATGACGACACTTTACACTGAAACGCGGGTAGTTTCAACAAAAATATTATATATTTCCATTCAAGTATTTATTCAAGTCAATTAGGAGGGAATATTATTGTAATACAACAGTTTTTTTTTAACTAAACCATTCGAAAAGCGATTTCGGTAACATCTTTTGAACGAAAGAAAGCGTAAGTCATTGTTTTCATCACGATTTTATCCCACTTTCCACTGTGATACGTACATCATTTCAGCAAAAATATTACATTTCCGTGAGTGCATTATATCAAGCACAGTGTGAATAGAATATCATTGTAATATAACAGAATTTTAACCAAAAACTATTAAAAAAACGAGTAACATCTCAAGAACATCGGAAGCTTAGGTAAAGTCTTTTGTTTTCGTCATGTGTTTTATCCTATTTTACATTAAAATACATCACGTTTCGGCAAAACTACTATTTATTTCCGAGAATTTATTCATTCAGGCGCAGTTTAGGTAAAATATACGTGTGATGTAATAGTTTTTTTAATTGAAAATGATTTGAAAAACACATACCCTCTAGCTGATACACGCAACAGCTGGTGGTGCGTGATGCGTCATGCGTCGTTGTAAACAATAGGTGGTTGAAGTAGATTACCGGGTATTATATTAAGTGTGAAATATCGAAAAGGTTTTTATTACCGGTATTTTTTGTAGATCAATGAGTACTGTGATACCGTATATGATATGATAAGTTAGCCTGTGCTAAGAACTTCAACATAGACTACTGAAAACACGTTGTAAGGTAATTTAGCCTATTGTAAGTTGGTGAGCTTCATTTGCTGAAGGAACTGCACAACTTTTCATTACTAATTGGTACATATTTTACGTTTCCATTGTTTACTGGCAGTAAATGGTAAATATTTTTCATGTCTGAAGCTAAAAGTTGCTCCTCGCCCTTCCCATCGTGCATGGGTTCAACCTAATAAAACTATTACGCATGTATAGGACGACCCCCAATTTTTTGCCTAAAAACTTGGTCTTAAAAACTCGAACTATACACGAGTATATACGGTATGCTTTGGCTAACATGTACACTAGATTAGTTGATTAGTTTAGTGCTGTTTTTAGACATTCCAAATAAGTTATCTTGCTATAAGTAGGAACATATAACTTCTCTTTATGGATTTTAATCATGAGTTTTTATTGTTTTAATGCAATAAATAATTATTTGTATATTTTTTGTACCCTTTGGTGACATTGAAATTAACTTCAGCTAGTATATGGGAATATTAAATTTACTTCACCTAGTATAAGTGAATTATTAAATTAACTTCAGCTCGTATAACTGTTAAATTGACTTCAACTAGTATAACATAAGGGACAACTAGTATAACATAAGGGAGGTGAACTTGACACTTGCTCTATGTTGGCAGATTTTGAAGAGAGCTCCGAGGATGAGTCACTGGATGGGGCGAGTGTCAAAAAGAGGAATCCCTCAGCAGCATCCACGTCCACCAATGAGGATGAAGATGACTCTCGGTAAATTTATACTATTTTTTTATTTTTTTAGTTAATTCAGGGTTTTTATTTATTTTTATTTTTTTCCCATCTCCAACATCATTGCTATCTCCTCCATCACCATCTCCATCATCCTCACTATCTCCACCATAACCACTATCTTCACCATTTCCATTAGGTATAGAAAGAAATCTTTTCATGAATTTTGATAACTAAATAGTTTTAAGGACAGGCAGGGGGTGATGCAAACTAAATTTAGTTTTTTTATCATTCTAATGGTTGACTGGCAGTGTTTTTGGTGGCTGAGCTTTCTGTACACAAGGAAATGGGAAGAGGTGTTTCTTGAAATTTGGAAGATGGTTGAAAGACAGTAGGGGATTATGCAGCTTTATTTATTTATTTATTTTTATTGGTTGTGACAAACTGGGAGGATATGTTTATTGCTGTGGAGTTCTTTATAATTATTATGCACTTTGATTTATAATTTCCATGTACTATACAGTACTATTTTGCCCTTTCTCACCTTCCATTTACAGTATATCGCTTGCATTTTCAGAACACAAATACTGCACCATGAAGAATATACTGTATACGGAGGGTATTTGTTTTGTTTCATATTCTAATAATATTTTGCATTTACTGATGTTTGTTTCAAGTTATTAGTTTTGATTTGTTTTTGTTGGTTTTCCCCAGAATATGCAACAAAATATTTTAGTGACAAGTTAGACCTAAACTAATTATTTATCTGTATTGTTCAAATGAGCCTTAGTCTTGATGATTCCCAGCAACTTTTTAATTGAGCATGAAAAGGGAAAGTTTATGTAATCTATGAAACCTGTATTAATGTCAGTACTGTCATGTTTTGTTTTTGAAAGTTCTTTAAGTGACTCAGGCCAATAATTTAATTTCATCACAGATACAATTTTTGCAGACCATCTTCTCGGAGCAGTCGAACCTCCTGTAAGACCTCCACGCGAAGTAGGGAAAGACAGAGTTCGGCCGAGTCCACCGGTACAACGCGAGACACCACTCCGACGCGACGTACGCCCAGACAAAATAATCGTGTTACCACCAAGGAAAAGTCACCAGACCCATCTAGGGAAAGAGGACCAACGGGTCAGTTAGTGAAACCCCAAACCAATCGTGATAATAAGGATAGAGGGGTAAAAGACCCATTAAGAGATAAAGAAGGAACAAAGGAAAAAGATATAGAAAGAAAAGAAAGTGTGAGAGAAAGAGAAGCTCAATTAAAAGACAAAAGAACTCAACCTGTTGTTAAAGAGAATAAAATCATACCCAAGGACAAAAGTCCGCAGTCAAAGGACAAAGACAAGAGCCCAGTACAAGGCACCAAAACGAGAAAAGACAGTGAACAGTCAGAACCAGATGCCAGTAATAGAAGAAAAACCAGAAGTACAGCAACAGGTTTGTGATTCTTCCTCAGTTACTACAATGCCAGGGTCTCTCTATCTATCTGTTTATCTATTTATCTAGCTGCAGTATCTATATCTATCTGTATATCTATTTAGTTATCTCTCTCTACCTACCTAACTGGTGTAACCAATGTGTTGTTATGGTGTTTCTCTTCCACAAGATGGCCCCTTCCTTATATTTATTCCTCTTAAGAGAGTATATAAATGTTTACTGTTGAGCATTGTGCCATCAGTGTATATATCAAGAACTGTAAATTGATGGTAAATAGACAAAATGTATAGAATATTATTTTATGCCCCTTAGGTTCAGTGATGAGTAAAGAAGTGTTAGGGAGATGAGGTACAGCAGGAGAAATAGAAGAAGGAAAAGGTAAAAAAATTTCAAGTAGTGAATACATACCATGTTATTGGTTGGTGTGCTGTGACTGAGTGGGTACAACACTCTACAGGGATTGCTGGTTCATGTTTGGGGCAACTTTAATGATCTCACTTCTGAATGGGTACTTAACTCTATTTGGTAGTTGAAGTGAAAGTGGTTTAGTTCAGTGGTGGTCACATATGTCTCTGTACACTGAAAATAGTGTTTTGCCCATGACGGGCTTTCATACCCGTGGGACCCACTCTCACTTTTCACTGGTGACAGATGTGATAAGATTGCTTACATAAAAGTGGGAAGATTACAAGTTTTACTGATTGTGCAGAGGAATGAATAGATGGTAAAATATTGTATTTGATTTAGTTGAGTGATTTGAATCTGGCAAAGATAATTATGAAAAATATGGTTGAGAAATAGAGTAATGGAGAATTTAATGAGTGGAAGGTGGCTGTCTTGGATGAGGGTCCAAGAGATGTGTACTTAATCAGGTTTTGTTGGGATGCAACCAAGGATGGGATACCTTTGTGGTAAGCAAAGGCTTCTCTGTGGATATGGATTAAGTTAATACAAAGTATATTTAGCCTAAGCGCTTTACTAGATTAAGTATCTAAAACTTTTCACTGTTTGTATTGCAGCAAATGAAGATACCCCGAACAAAAGAAGAAGATTGTCCAAGGACAAATAGGATCCCCCTCTTGCTGAAGTGAGGATGTGGCTGATGCTTCTGAAGCTGAAATAGAATCCTTCAGCAAGAATTCTCTATGAGTGGTGGAATGTTGCTATGAGCAGACAGCAGTGTATATCAGTATTAGAAAAAAACAGTGCAATAAGACGTTCTCTCCTATGCTGTCTGTCTCCCTCTGTTCCTATGATGGCAGTCATGGTGATGTGATGCCAACTGCCACTCACTTTCTTGTATAAGTTACCTCTGCCTGACCACTTGACTAAGTTTTTGGGAAGCAATGCTGTAGAAAACAAAGACTCTGACAATTTTAAAGTTTTGTCTGTCCAGCTTCAGTGGAGCATGTTTCCTGAACTTAGCTCAGAGTGGATAGACTCTCAAGATCTCAGCCCTTGGCAACCCATGATTACTTCTTTTAAACTTACAGAGTTTCTGTAGGCCATTTTGTTAAGGTCGATTTTGTTTTCTTCTATTGTACTGCTTATAACTATGACTAGTGATACAATAAGCACTGTGGATTGTCAGAACAGCTGTAACTCCAGAGGACAGCTGAATGCAATGAATGTGTGATTTTTAGGGTGATGAATTCCCCCCATCCCCTCCCCCAGTGAGAAAGTCTCCTGGTAGTGTTGTCAGGGACAGAGGGCGGTGTTGTGGCTGCCCCACCAATCTGGAGTGGTCAGATGTTACAGGTCTACCCACCCACGGCAGACACAACTGCCCACCCACATTGTGGCGCCCACACTTTTCTACACCAACACCTCTATTGTATATGTAGATTGTATATATTGGTGAATGTTTTTAAATGTACAAAGTACAGCAAAGTTAATATTTTCTGTGTATTTCTGTATAGATGACTGCAAGTAGATGCAGATCCTGTAAATTATAAGCTTAAAGTGTAGAACCTGTGAAGGTGAAACTGCGGCTGTATTTATTGTAAATATTGTAATCTGTTGTATAGACTACCACTACTGCAAACAACCTCGTTACTGACATTTGTTTCTCCACGTCCTGTGCCCGATGCCATTTTCTCCAGACACCTCACTTGCACTCCTTTCCAGACTTTATCTTATTTGCTAACTTCTTTGGCTTGTTCATGCCTTGCAGCAGGAGACTTGTTTTAGGCATACATGCCTCTTGAGAGATCATTTCGTTTTATGAATTTGATCGTGGTTTTTGCACAGGTTAGGATTTTTCTCCTCTATTTGAAGGCATGAGCAATGTAAAATATTTGTAATCTACCCTAATCTATTTTTTTTAGCTTAATGGCATGAAAATTATTCTTTAATGGCCCTATTGATTCTATTGTAATGTAAGATTTCATATTTTACATTGTTATGAATAACAGTTTTAATTATATACATTGACTTTCTGTACAGAACATTTTAATAGTCCTATTTTCTCAACCTGTATTGCAATAATTACACTGAGCATGTCGAGAGTCTTGATTTGTCCCTTGGTGTATTGGGTGGTTGTTCTTAAAGATGTTTACAAGTATTTGATTCATTTAGTCTGTTTCATACCTGTTTTGGGGTTGGTGTCACGCAGATTTACTCATTTGTTATAATATTATACTAAGCATTTGCACGACCCTTCCCTATTTTCCTTATTTCTTTCCTGAGATTTTCCACACAAGCTCTGGCAAGGATACAACCATCGTCTCGGATCTGTCAACCTAGGCGCACCAAAAGCAGAACTACTATAGTAAAAAATGTGTGTATTTTGTATTTTTCTAAAAGATGCGGTTGGAGAGAGATGTGGCTGTATGTCTCTACGTGTTGTGGCCGTAAAGCCCCAGTTATGGTGTATCATGTTACTGAAGGAGTAAACTGACCAATAAGGCAGGCCAGTCTTTGGTGTCACCCTTTCCCAGTAAGAGATGGCTACGTAGCCTGCCTCCACCCATCCTTAATGTTTGCTTTGCTTTGCTTCGTTTCACTGAAGGAAGATTTAATTTCTTTCCATTTGCACAAGTCCATGTTCTTATTCCTTATCTTATTTTAATATTTGCTCTTTTGAGATTGTTGTTTATGCAGAGATTAAATCTTTATAAAGGGGTGTGGGGGTGCTGAGGTTCAAATACTTACCACAACATTGACGTAAGCAGTAAGCATTCTCATAGTTGACTGTTGAGGTGGTGAGAATAACTTAACTATGCCTTCAACAGGTCTGTCAGAATAAGCAAGTGTAATATTCAGTTATTGAGATGTATGTAAATTTTAGAACTAATCTTTATTTTTTATTTTTTAAAAATAAACTGATTAAATTATTGTCTACTTGTAAGTTACATGAGACAGACACCTGTTCTACCACTACTGTACAGACAAAATAAGCCAAGATGAAGCAGTCATGGACTGTGAGTCACATGATTATAAGAAAAATATTTAAAGTGATTCATGGCTTTTATAGTAGCTACTACACTGAGCTCTCATTTATTGAACTTTTCTTCAATGGTTATGTTGAACTTACACAAGAATTAACTGGAAAAACCTTAAGTGATATCAGTCTAGGCTGCTGATACACTCTGTTTACACCCGAGCAGGAAGTGTAGCTCTCAACTAGATCATTAAATGAGAAGATATATACAGTAAGAGGACAGTTTGTCCTCTGTGGGCAACAACAACTGTGGCTGAAGTCGTCCTCTTCTTATTGATGACTCTCTTGCCACACTCACCCTGCAGCCCACCTGGTAGGTTGGCATATGGTACCATACATATCTTCACACAACAACTTTTATTAATTTATTTATTTCTTATTGTTTCCTTCACCTTTTCCTCTTCTCGTGTCTTAATGATTTTTCAGTTCTCTTTGCCTGGTTATAATGCCAAGGTGACTTGTTCCTTCAGTCTTGTTATACATCTTTGTCCTTAATATTGTTTAGTGGTAATTGCTTCTCATATTTGATACCAAATTTCAGTGAGAATTGTTAAGCAAAATATGTCTATGTTACTGGGTTGTATTATTTGAAGGTGTGTATGGCTAGAAGGCTGGAGATGTGAACACTCACAGGGTTTAAGAAACCTACTGTACCTGGGTAGCCTTACTTTGAAAGTGGGAAATTACAATATACAATATTCTGAATAGGTACATCACACAGTATTGCAGTTATTTGTGGAATGATGTCACTATGCTGGAAGCTTTAGGATGTCACCCTGTCCTCAACCATCAGTATAGGTACACACGGTTAATCACTTCTGGTTATTATATACAAGTTAGTGACTCTTATCTTGAGGTTAAGATATAAATGTAACATCATGGGAAGGGGATACTTAGGCTGTTTTTATATTCTCATTTCAAAGATCAGGATTAATGCTTGGTGATGGTAAGAGATATTACTTGGGTAATACAGTTCTGTATTTTACCTTTCCAGAAAGGTCTTTTTTATTTATTGTTTATTTTACAGAAATATAAAACAATACAGGTATTTCTTATTGCGGAAATTGGAGGTGGATATTATAAGAAATGAATTTTAACTTCTTGGTCAAGTTAAATTTTCCTTGAGAGGGCAAAGACGAGTGCTTGTTTACAGATATTGTAGTTGCTCTGAGACTAGGCCATTGCACCTTGAGAAAAGCCGACACTGAGCGAACTGATGTACCATAACTATAAGGTAACCAAAGGTCGTTAGGCTAGGTAAAGGGATGTTAGTTGGGCTCGTGTCATCTTTCAATGATTTAATGGCATAGTCTTACAGGCAGTCAATTTATCAACAACACAGAGTGTTTTGTGCATTATAGGTGTATTTTAACTGGGATTTAATTAAGATTGGATTTGCTTTTTATATGTCAGCCATCTGTTTCTGAAATTAGAGGTAATTCTTGAAAATATAAATATGAGAAACTATAAGCATGGAAAGATAAATGCTGTAATGCCCTTGTTTACCTGCATACATATTCACTAGTGTAGAGAGATGAAGGTCCTGCAGAAGGTAACTACTGTACCACCACGCCCTGCAGTGTACCACAGTGTTAGTGGATTGTTACTTGAAATACACAACTTATTTTCTGGTTTTTAGTGATAACAGTTTGTTTAGTATTAAATATTGTCACAATCTCGGCAGAAGCATTATCCCAGGATTTGGGTGTTGGGTAGCTATGTTCGTACAGTACAGTACTGTCATATAATTATATCATATGTGGTTAGAACTTGTCATCAAGTTGGATTACATCTTTTTAACATAATCTAGTTACACTTTATGGTTAAACTGTTAGGATATGTCTAATTTTATTCCAGTATTAAGATATCATGGAAACATCTTTAAAAGGTTGCCTCCCTCGCCCCTTACAGACTGTTGTGTATTCTGCAAATATTTATTTTTTTAAATTCTATTGTCACCCCTGAAGTACTCTATACCTTTCCATTATCTGTGAGGTTTATCCTTGTTGCAAGAAGTTATTTGTTTTTACTTGTAATAGAATATGTGAGACATTATTCAAACTGAAAAAGTCTTTTCTCAACTTGAAGATTTTCCATTTATTTATCTTCCTTTTTTTCCTTGTCTCGTAAATAAACTCTACACTGAAGTTCTCTACTCACACGTTTACTGGACTTTTGTTTGCTTATGCCAGAATTTCTTAAAATGTATGGAGGAAGTTTTTGTCAGGGTTACCAGAGGAGGCATCACTCTTGCAATTACTGGGTGAAGTCTAGGAACACCATCTTCTTATTCATAGTCAACAGTGTATTTGGCAATGAGTCAACCACATTTAAGTATCTTTAGGGAACTGGCAGAGTTTGTTGAGGAAAATTATTATGCTATTACCTGTATTTACTGACCCAGACCTTTATTATCTGTGTGAATGTGCAAGTGTACAGGAGGTGCAAGTGTTAGTGAAAAATGACTTCATAGGTTGAATCTTGATATTTTTGGAGAAATTTCTGTATGAAGTACATGAAAAGAAAGTACTGTTGAAAGATGTGATTGTCATAACAAGTCCTTCAGCGGCCCAGATAGTATTGCATGAGGACTTTGATCCGTCAGTCACTATCTGACCTTTTTATTAACCTCTGCCTTACTTACATTAATGTTTAGCACAGTTCATGCATTACTGTAATTCATAATGATGTTCAGTGGCTGTGATGAATGTTTTTGTTTTACTTTCCCCTTTTTGGACAAAATTCTATTAAGATTGTAATGTTTTAGAACATCTTTACTTAAATTCACAATATATTTAATGTAATGTAATTGCACCATGATCGCCGACGTAGTTACTAAATTGACGAGACTACGTTGGTTATGGGCGGGGACGGTCCAGGCCCCTGCAAGTCATGCTGTTGTTTGTTTCATTGGGAATCACCGTTATAATACAATAGGGAAAATTATATAAATCTAGTTTCAGGAAATTTTTATTGAATATCCCTTCAGTTTTTATATTACACCATTCATGAGTACAGTATATTTGAAGCAAAATTTTGATGGGTTAAGTGAATCACCATGTGGTAACTTAGTTGGGTAGGATGTGCAGCTGTCTGTTACATTATGGTGACAAGGTTGGTATTTTGTGAACTCACCACAATACATTTATAAATTGATGTTCTTGTGCCGTGATTTTACAACAACTGAAATTTTCACAGTTAAAACATGACTCTTGATATGGGTGTGACTTCCCTCCACATTTTGTTTCACTTCATGTATTATCAAGTACTGATCGTTGTGGGATTTTACTCTTAGAAAATATTGGAACTGTTACAAAGAAACTGTTTGAGCATTGATACTGATATTATAATTGGATGATGGCAGCTGTGATAAAGTTGTATTAGTAAGTTGAAAAACGTGTTCATGGCCTACGTGTGTGTTAAAGAAGCTTATGATCTTTTGTCGAGTACAGTACTTAAAATAGTGTTTATGCTTATTGGTGTACATTATACTTTTGTTTTTCAAACCTTTTCCTATACAGTATAGTAAAAAAATACAGGGTGTCCATTTTCTTATACAGTACAGTAAAAAATACAGGGTGTCCAAAATGTAGCAGATGCACACACTCATTCTCCCTTCAATCATTCCCATTCATTTGTTCATTTACTCTTCTTGCTGTAATAAATGAGTTCTACCATAGTATTCCCTTGCTTCAAGAAAAGGTATTAAATATTCATCTTGTTCATCCATGTCCCTTAGTGTCATGACCTTCCCTTAAAAAAAAAAAAAAAACATCCTTTGAAACTCACTGACTTTACTCTCTATTTTTCACTGCTATTTTCTGCATCATCTTCCTTACATCTACTGCCTCCTCCACCCCTCCCCTCTTGATCTTCCTCCTGTCACAACCATCTGTCTGAATTATATATATAGATGTACAGTATTACCAACCTTTCACATTCTATTCTCTCATCTGTCCCCATAACATATCAGCTGACCCTAATCATTTATTTATTTGACATATCTTTCACATTTTCTTATTTCTGTATTTATTATTTTCTGTAACTTATTTACCCCATATATTACAGCTCTGGTGTGCTATAATCGACACACTCCTCTGTAGATTTTACGCTCGTTCTTATCTGTCTCCATATACTGTACAGTACAGTACAAGGAAATTATACATGCTCTTTTCCTTACAAGATGTAGAGTTTTGTTCATAGAATTTTAATATTTTCTTATATAGTAGGTTTATAATTATGGAGTATGAATGTGAGGCTTAATGACAGGATAGGAGCCAATGTTTGAAATTATGAGAAGATAGACTTTGGGTTTAGAATCATACGACAGGGTTGGATTGGGTTGAAATTGATATACTGTACTGTATGATGTCAGACAGGTAAGTGATGAAGGTTGTAGCTCTTAGTGTGGCTTCTGGAAGGTTTTGATAAGAGTTGGGAAGCAGAGGTTATTGTTTTAAATGAATAATTACAATAAGTGGTGTGGGAGTTAGCAGGGGACTATTGAATGGAATGTTTTCCCCAGTGTATAGTTGTATAGCCCATATATAACATCAGTGGTGCTCTAGAATGCAAAATTAAACAAAAACTCCCTAACTAGTCAATAGATTAAACAGTAGTGTGTGTGTGTATCTGTGGGTGGTTAATGTGCACAATATGGCACCCCACAACCCATGGTCCTTGCCACTTACCACACTTCCTGGTTTCACTGTGTATAAATTCATATGTAAAAGACCAAGAAACTTAAATATTAATGCATGCCCCCTAAATAAAAGATTGTTGTAGTATTAAGAAGTATGTTCTGGTGATCACACATGGTACAAGGGACCAGCTGGCAGTCTGTCTGGCATTAAATTTCCTCTCTGGGATTAACAACCCTTACATGGCCCATTAATGTGGGATTTATTGTAAATCTATATCAGCTGTGGTGTAGTGTGCACAATTTAGTAGAGATTGTTATAATTGATGAGAAGAGATGTCAGTGCCCGACTAGGATTGTTGTGTGTGTTTGTGGTGCGGAATTTAAGTTAGAGTGGAGATACTTGCGTAGAAAGAAAAAAAAAGTCTGTTGTAGTATTCATTCCTACATATCAAAGCTGCATGCTCTTCATTACCTGATTTGATTATTTAGGTTTTGCAGTACCTTATGTCACATCACCTCCAGGCTCTCTGAAGCACACCAACACACCTTATAATGTGGTGTAGTTATCTACTGTACCTACAAGGGCAATGTTACCTAATTTCCCCTTACTTTTGTATACACCTATTGGCCGTGTGAAAGTCACGGTCACTCCCCTGCTGTGGGTCAACTGTCATCCTACTCTCATGTTATAGTCCTTTAATGTACAATGACTTACACTTGGCTCCTTGTTATCTTGGTTACCCAGCCCTAACTAAGGCTTGTATAAGGATAAGGTATGTAAGGAAGGGAAAAGCTGTAAAGTACATGATTCATTGTAGAGTAGGGTGGTTGGGTTACAGTAGATGTGAATGTCTTTCTACCTTAAAAATCTTGTTTCTTTGGGTTTAATGTCCTATATTGGGAGGAAGTAAGAAACATTAACCTAATCTCATATCTACCATGGTTGGATAACTGCTCATCCAAGGTTCATACATTTTCAATACTTTTTTATCCTGATCCAAGGATTTACGATAGACTGCTGAATTACAAAAGCATCAGCAGTACAGTACAGTATATTAGAGCTGGAAGGTATTAAAGATTGCAGCTAGTAAGGTGCAGGAGGATTATTCAGGAGTGTTGTAAGCTCACTTTTATTCAGTAAATCTTTATACTAGTTTGCATTGGTTCAGAGAGTATTATTATTGCATGTACAGTATATAGGCAGTGTGGATATGGGTACAGTGCAGAATATTAAGTGAGGTGCTATAAGACTACCTGTGAAAAGTATTTATGTATTTCAAAATAGATAATTCACGAATGCAAGGTTTGATTTGATAAGGTTGGGGATTTTTGTACCAACAATAGTTTCAGATAAACTTTATTTGCTTTATCCAAATGATATGGTATGTTTAAATCTTTTGTACATTTTAATAGTTTTTCTTTACTTGCTATCAGAGGAGCTCGTCCATGGAGTTGTCTTAGGGTAACCTTGAGTTCTTTATCATATCAGTAATAGGAGTACTTGTAGTGGTGATGCAGAGAGTAGTAGTACAGTGGTAGTAGTAGTGAGTCTTATCTAAAAGTGGTTAGTGAAGTTTATGGGATTTTTTGGGGGGGTGAAGGACATTGTTATCCAAAATATATACTATATACCTGTACTGTACAGTATATGTTAAGAAATTATGGCATGATTTATATCTGAATTTTGTGAAATGTTTTCTATTTTTATTTATTTATTTTAATGTATTTATTTTTTTTTTTTAGAGAGAGAAAGAAATCATTAAAACTGGACGAAGAACATTTCTGAAATTTTTTGGGGTGGTTGCTTTTAGTATTGTATTCAAAATATGTATACATGAAAAGACTTTTGGTGTGAAAGTTTGCCCTTTTTTTATGATGTACAGTACAGTGTTATCAAAAGTCTAACTGTTGGCTTTATTTACTTTTTTAATGCAATAGAATGACTGAAGAATAGAATATGGCCGCATCATCATTACAGTACAGGAAGAGGGTGTACAAAATGCATTCTTGTGCTGTCGATGGTAATACAAGTTTTACAATAGAATGTACGGTTCTAAATTATGAAAGTTGTACAGAGATAGTTTTATAAGAAGTAAATTGCATTCACGTGAGTATTAGACACTTATTTCATTTGAATATTAACCATCAAAATGCTAACCTAACTTAAAATAACCCTCCAGGAAGCATTAGGGTGATTAATCTTCAGGTGAAACAAGCTCGGGGTGTCTAATCTTCATATGATTCAAAAATTTTAATACCATCTATGAAACAAATTGGACAATACAATGGCCTCCTCCTCCCATCATGGCCACCTCTAACTGGGGTGGCCATCAGGTAGATCAGGACACTGTGATTGGCTTGTAGGAGGGCCATGTAACTCTCCACGTCATAATTCCACTGCGTACTGTTATTAATTCTTCAGTTTCATGCTGTTGGTCTACTGAAATTTCAAGGCGCTGTTGTTATTGTGGTAATGTACTGTACTGTATCCAACTTGACAGGTGTTAATGGTGTGCTGTTGTCTGTGGTTTTTCTTCTATAGGACTGACTTTATAGTTCTAAGCTTCATTTTCCCAGCATTTTTTGTGTTCAATATGCTCTTCACTTGTGATTGTGTATGGGTAATTTACTACCATTGGGTACAGTCAGATAAACCATACAATTACTTAAGGGTGTGGTAACCAAGTGGATACAACAGTCGTCTCAATCCCCAGATCCTGGTTTTTCTTCCTAGGACACTTTAAATCCTCCCAGATGTAAATGGGTACTGTACTGTACATGACTTTACTGTTGGGAGGTGAAGGTAATCAAGTGTAGTGTAGGTCATGGAGCTTTCTTGTGTACCATAGGCTTATTATTCATATTTGTTTAGTCACATGTTCCTAATAGTTCACCATCAGGACTATGGGGATCTTTTTTCTTTTATGTACAGTTTATTCATGTGTTCCATTCTATTGAGCTGTTATGCAAGAATTTTTACCTCGTCTTATGCAAGTGAAAAGTGTGGACAACACAACAACGCACCAGAAGGCAGCTGTAAGAGGTAGGGAATCACCCAAGATAAGCTTCCCCCAGTTAACTGCCGTGACGCTCTGTGGTTAGGCTTGCTTGGGTTAGGTTGTGGTAGCATCAGATTAGGTTAAGGTTAGTGTTAGATAGGTAGGCAAGGTTAAGTTAGCTTTAGAATGTCTAATTATTAGGTGAAATAAACTAAAGGGGCTAATCTTCCAGAACTTGAACAATGTCATGTAGCAGAAGAGAGAAATACGCTCAATAAACTCACCCATTGCACTAGACACAATCCCATCTGGTTTAGTTTC